CAGACGCAAGCGCAGTGTCGGGGAGTAACAGATTACATGTACCAGAGTAATCAGAGTACAAATGATGAGTAACTGTATTCAGTTACAGTTACTGGATTACAGTTACTTTGTTGGAATAAATGGATTACACGGCGGGATTTTCCTGTTTTCACTTTTTTTTTCTTGGTAATTCCACTCATTGCCGGACACTAAACCAGGATAAACACTAAACCAGGATTGAACCAGGACTAAAACCAGGTCTAAACCAGGTCTAAATCAGGACTAAATCAGGACTAAAACCAGGACTAAACCAGGACTAAACCAGGACTAAAATCAGGACTAAACGAGAGCTAAACCAGGACTAAACCAGGATTTAACCAGGACTAAACCAGGACTAAAACCAAGTCTAAACCAGGTCTAATCTAGATCTAAACCAGGTCTAAACCAGGTCTAAATCAGGACTAAATCAGGACTAAAACCAGGACTAAACCAGGTCTAAACCAGGTCTAAACTGGGGCTAAAACAGGATTTAACAGGATGAATCCTGCCGTTGGACCGTGTCTCCTCGTTTTCTATCAATATTTTTAATACGGTTCAGGAAAGACTGGGGTTTTTATTTTCTTTTATCAGACAAAACTTCTTATGTGCAGATTTCCTCGTCTTTGTTTCTCTACAACAAATCAAGTAATCCAAAGTAATCAGATTACATTACTCACTTTAAGTCATTTAATGGATTCTGTTACAAACTACATTTTGGTGTGTGTAATCTGTAATCTGTAGGGGATTACATTTTAAAAGTCACCTTCCCGACACTGCACAAGCGCAAGTTTATTTGACATAAGTAAAGTCCTAGTTTCAAGTTCTTGTTCAGGTTTTGGTCAGTTCTTTTTATTCTGACTCAGAAACAGTTTGACGGTAAATGTTGATCAGAACATGTTGTGGTCGTTCATTACCTGACACATGGTTTAGTCCAGGTTTAGACTTGGTTTAGTCTTGGTTTAGTCCTGGTTTAGTCCTGGTTTAGTCTGTTTAGTCCTTTAGTTTCCTGGTTTAGTCATGGTTTAGTCCTGGTTTAGACTTGGTTTAGTCCTGGTTTAGTCTTGGTTTAGTCCTGGTTTAGTCCTGGTTTAGTCCTGGTTTAGACTTGGTTTAGTTTTCTGGTTTAGTCCTGGTTTAGACTGGTTTACCTGGTTTAAGTTTAGTCTGGTTAGGTTTAGTCTGTTTACTGGTTTAGTCTGTTTAGTTTAGTCCTGGTTTAGTCTGGTTTAGTCTTTAGTCTGGTTTAGTCCTGGTTTAGTCTTGGTTTAGTCCTGGTTTAGTCCTGGTTTAGTTGGTTTAGTCCTGGTTTTAGTCCTGGTTTAGTCCTGGTTTAGTCTTTGGTTTAGTCCTGGTTTAGTCCTGGTTTAGTCCTGTTTAGTCCTGGTTTTAGTCCTGGTTTAATTTGGTCCTTTTAGTCCTGGTTTAGTCCTGGTTTAGTCCTGGTTTAGTCCTGGTTTAGTCCTGGTTTAGTCCTGGTTTAGTCCTGGTTTAGTCCTTGGTTTAGTCCTGGTTTTAGTCTGGTTTAGTCTTGGTTTAACTGGTTTAGTCCTGTTTAGTCCTGTTTAGTCCTGGCTTAGTCCTGGTCCTGGTTTAATCCTGTTTTAGTCCTGTTTTAGTCTTGGTTTAGTCCTGGTTTGGTTTAGTCCTGGTTTAGTCCTTGGTTTAGTCTGGTTTAGTCCTGGTTTTAGTCCTGGTTTAAGTCCTGGTTTAATCCTGTTTAGTCCTGGTTTAAGTCCTGTTTTAGTCCTGGTTTAGTCTGGTTTAGTCCTGGTTTAGTCCTGGTTAGTCCTGGTTTAGTCCTGGTTTAGTCCTGGTTTAGTCCTGTTTAGTCTGTTTAGTCCTGGTAATCCTGGTTTTAGTCCTGGTTTAGTCCTTTTAGTCCTGTTTAGTCCTGGTTTAGTCCTGGTTTTAAGTCCTGTTTTAGTCCTGGTTTAGTCCTGGTTTAGTCCTGGTTTAGTTTTAGTCCTGGTTTAGTCCTGTTTAGTCTTTAGTCCTGGTTTCCTGGTTTAGTCCTGTTTAGTTTAGTCCTGGTTTAGTCCTGGTTTAGTCCTGGTTTAGTCCTGGTTTAGTCCTGTTTTAGTCCTGGTTTAGTCCTGGTTTAGTCCTGGTTTAGACCTGGTTTTAGTCCTGGTTTAGTCCTGGTTTAGTCCTGGTTTAGTCCTGGTTTAGACTGGTTTAGTCCTGGGTTTAGTCCTGGTTTAGTCCTTGGTTTAGACCTGGTTTAGAGTCCTGGTTTAGTCCTGGTTTAGAGTCCTGGTTTAGTCCTGGTTTAGTCCTGGTTTAGTCCTGGTTTAGTCCTGGTTTAGTCCTGGTTTAGTCCTGGTTTAGTCCTGGTTTTAGTCCTGGTTTAGTCCTGGTTTAGTCCTGGTTTAGTCCTGGTTTTAGTCCTGTTTTAGTCCTGGTTTATCCTGGTTTAGTCCTGGTTTAGTCCTGGTTTAGTCCTGGTTTAGTCCTGGTTTAGTCCTGGTTTAGTCTTGGTTTAGTCCTGGTTTAATCCTGGTTTAGTCCTGGTTTAAGTCCTGGTTTAGTCCTGGTTTAGTCCTGGTTTAGTCCTGGTTTTAGTCCTGGTTTAGTCCTGGTTTAGTCCTGGTTTAGTCCTGGTTTAGTCCTGGTTTAGTCTGGTTTAGTCCTGGTTTAGTTCCTGTTTTAGTTTGGTTTTCCTGGTTTAGTCCTGGTTTAGTCCTGGTTTACTGGTTTAGTCCTGGTTTAGTCCTGGTTTAGTCCTGGTTTAGTCCTGGTTTAGTCCTGGTTTAGTCCTGGTTTACCTGGTTTAGTCCTGGTTTGGTTTAGTCCTGGTTTAGTCCTGGTTTAGTCCTGGTTTAGTCCTGGTTTAGTCCTGGTTTAGTCCTGGTTTTAGTCCCTGGTTTAGTCCTGGTTTAGTCCTGGTTTAGTCCTGGTTTAGTCCTTGTTTAGTCCTGTTTTAGTCCTGGTTTAGTCCTGGTTTAGTCCTGGTTTAGTCCTTGTTTAGTTTTAGTCCTGGTTTAGTCCTGGTTTTAGTCTTAGTGGTTAGTCCTGGTTTTAGTCCTGGTTAGTCCTGGTTTAGTCCTGGTTTAGTCCTGGTTTAGTCCTGGTTTAATCCTCCGTTGCAGAGGACGGTCGAGCGTCTCTGTTGAGCATCTCTTTAGATCAGGAGTCTCCAACCCTTTTCCTCTGCTCAGCTCCTTTCACAAAGCTGCTCATTTTTGAAGCTGCACATTTTTAACTTGATTCTGATTCGAGGAAATAGAAATGATCAACTGTCAAAGCAGTGAAAATAAAAAGCCTCATTAGAATGTGGTTTTCAACAGTAAATGGAAGTAAACAGTAGCACTTCCTGTTCAATCACCATGTGTTCTTATCTTATCTGTGCATTCAGTGTCAGGGAGTAACAGATTACATGTACCAGAGTAATCAGAGTACAAATGAGGAGTAACTGTATTCAGTTACAGTTACTGTTTCAGTGAGTGGTAATTGGATTACAGTTACTTTGTTGAAATAAATGGATTAAACAGAGGGATTTAACTGTTTTCACATTTTGGGCTAAATCCCTTTGTTTTTGTTTTTTTTTGTTTTGTTTTGGTAATTTGGACTAAAACCAGGACTAAACCAGGACTAAACCAAGACTAAACCAGGACTAAACCAGGACTAAACCAGGACTAAACCAAGACTAAAACCAGGACTAAACCAGGACTAAACCAGGACTAAACCAGGACTAAACCAGACTAAACCAGGACTAAACCAAGACTAAACCAGGACTAAACCAGGACTAAACCAGACTAAACCAGGACTAAACCAAGACTAAACCAAGACTAAACCAGACTAAACCAGGACTAAACCAGGACTAAAACCAAGACTAAACCAAGACTAAACCAGGACTAAACCAAGACTAAACCAGGACTAAACCAAGACTAAACCAAGACTAAACCAGGACTAAACCAGGACTAAACCAGGACTAAACCAGGACTAAACCAAGGACTAAACCAGGTCTAAACCAGGACTAAACCAGGTCTAAACCAGGTCTAAAACCAAGACTAAACCCTAAACCAGGACTAAACCAGGACTAAACCAGAAAACCAGGACTAAACCAGGTCTAAACCAGACTAAACCAAGACTAACCAGGACTAAACCAGGCCTAAACCAGGTCTAAACCAGGACTAAACCAGGACTAAACCAAGACTAAACCAGGTCTAAACCAGGCCTAAACCAGGTCTAAACTAAACCAGGTCTAAACCAAGACTAAACCACAGGACTAAACCAGGACTAAACCAGGATCTAAACCAGGTTTAAACCAGGACTAAACCAGGACTAAACCAGGTCTAAACTAGGACTAAACCAGGTCTAAAGGTCCGTCAGATGGCTCCAGGTTTCTCCTCAGACTCTACAGGAGCTCAGTGACGCCCTCACGCAGATCTGGTTCGTCTCATTTGGAGCTACGACGTTGTCAAACGCACAGAAGAAGAACGTGGAGCAGCACAAGAAACTGAAGCTTTTTGAGCTGCAGAAGTTTGATTTAGACAAAATGGACCAACCTGCCACATCAATATTTCACTTTCAATTCATCCTCATTCATCTGCTCGTCCAGATTTTTATAGATATTCAACATTTTTTTTTATTTCCACATTGAGATCTGATGTGTTTTCAAAGTGTTCCTTTCATTTTTGAGCAGTGTAGAAGTAAAAACACCTTCACACAAAAACCAAGTCAGAGTTTTTTAGCACAATGTTACAAATCTGAATTGCCTAAATGGTTCTGGAGGAAATTATAAACTTTTTACACCAATTACCAAGTCTAAACTTTAATAATGTTCTTATAGTTGAACTGAGCTGTTGAAATGTTTCTTTAAAAAGCTGTTATTTCATCAGTCCTTCATCTCTTTGCTTTTGATTATTCTAAAAGTTCAGATGTGCTGGGTTAAAAAAATAAAAAAAATGACTCACAGAAAACAGAACCTACTGAAGAGTCAGAATATTTAGTCTAACACCTTTTTTCTGTCTGTGTTTCAGGACAGCACAGTGTTTGAGAAGGAGAAGGACATCATCTCTGTGGTAAGTCACTGCCCAAAACCGATCGTCTGGGATTAAACGTAAAAAAAAAGAGTCTGTTTAGAGTCTGGAGAAACTGACGGCCGATCAGCTCCGACAGTTTTCGTTGGGCGATATGTCGGGCTGATTGTGATTAGATCATTTCTTTTATTATTATTATTATTATTATTATGTTTATTTATTTCGGACAGTAATACATAGAACATAAATTAAAAAAACAAAAACAAAAAACTAAATAATAAAAAAAGACAAAAACGTAAATACATAGATATAACACAAAAAGTAACTATTTCTATTCTATAATAACAGGCAAAATAAATGTTACGCAGAATTTTCCTTGTGTCCGAAAAAGGAGTGGGAGGAAGTAAATACTTATTTAACCCCACCCCTTTTTTCTACCGTCCCAAATTAACGAAGAACAAATACAGACGTCTCATTTCCTGTACATTATAAGCAATAATTGCACAGTACAAATATATGTATATTATGTACACAGATATAGTACACATCATATACACAGATATAATATATACATACCTACATACACATCACATACCCATGTATACCTATATATATATATACATATATACACCCATATACATGCACATACATATACACGCACACATAGACCACTAAGCACTCATTTCTTCCGCACAGTATTTTGAAATAATACATTTTTTAATTGCCCTTTTGAATACATGTATATTCGAACAAAGTTTTAATTCTATTTTCAAGTTGTTCCATAATTTCACACCACAAACAGAGACACAAAAACTTTTTCTTGTCGTTCGAGCACGAGGCAATTTAAAATTCAAAACGCCTCTTAAGTTATAGTTTGTTTCCCTTTCACAAAAAAGTAGTTGAAGATTTTTTGGTAACTGCTTATTTTTTGCTTTATACACGACTTGTGCAGTTTGGTACAGAATCAAATCATTCAGTTTGAGTAATTTGGCATGAATAAACAGTGGATTAGTGTGGTCATGACATTTTTAAATGTTCTACAAACTCACCCGAGCCTTTTTCTACCAAAACAAAATATCGTAGTTTAAAGTTTGTATAGAGGATTTTTTAAGGGAAGTGAAATACAGCGACAGTCTTTTTTCAAATGTTGTGCATGTGTGACACCACCTTCCTCCTCCACAGCCTCAGTAGAAACATCTCCTCCCTCCTTTTTACTCTAGAAATCACGTTTGTTTACATCCAGCGCGTGTTCAGAATTACTGTTGAAGTTTCCTGTCTAGACGTCATTTATCGACAGGCGCGTCAGTTTTTAGACCCTTCGTCTGCTTCAGTCGCGCCGTCGCTGGAAGGAATCTCCAAGAATCACCTCAGTTTGTCTTCGCTCCTTTTCCTCCTTTTCTCCTCTCGGGCGACCTCAAAAACAGACTTTCTTTCGCGGCGAACCGGTCGTGGATTCTCGTCCGCCGTCGCGACAAACTTTGTGCGAACTGCGAGGAAGCGACGGTTTGAAAAAGCCTCAAAGAACCGCCGCATAAACCACGTAATCCCAACGCGCCGGCGAGTCACTTACACTAGAAACGTAGGGAGTTTGATTGACAGCCAATAGAAAATGAGGCAGCCTCGTTTTCTATTGGCTGATGTTTATCTGGCCTCAACACGTCCACAGTTGATAGATTTTCATTCTTTTTTTTTTTTTGATCATCATAATTACAAAGCTGCTGCGTCTCTGTAACAGTATTTTAAACTTTCATTGACAATTTGAAACTGAAAAAAAAATCCTCCATACAACCTTTAAATAGTCTGGCTGTGCTGTAGATTTACAGTAACTAAAATAAATAAAGACATGAACTCAGAGTAAATTCAGAACATGAGCTCTGGGTAAAATGGACCGAACCAGGTCCAGATCTGGAGATGGTCTCATAGTTTCTGGCAGGTTTCCCCATCGGTCAAATTTAGAGGACGGGGAAATAAAGTGCATCTCTCAAACTTTTCTCACCAAGTCCCACCTTAGACAATATTTCCCCTCTGGAGTCCTGCAAGATCCTAAACCTCTAAAAACATCACCAGTCTGTTTCCACTTGGTGCTAAACCTAGATCAAAAAATAGGATTTAACTTTTGCTTTGTTAGTTCTTAAAAAGGTTAAATGTCAAGTCTAGTTTTACTCAACAAAGAGTCGTCCTCCCACATGTACAGAGATGAAATACTTTGTTGTTCAGTTTGGTCTGATTGAGTCATTTCTGTTGAGAAAAACATTCACATGATTATTTTTCATTCATAGATTTTCAGTCGTCCTCCTTTTTCACATTTGTGTTGTAAAGTTTTATCAGTTGACACAAATGTTTGTAGGTTTTAGTCATATTTTTATTCATCACTGGTTTATTTTTATAGTTAGATTTGTGGTCTGAGCGTTGGACAGAATCTAAAATTAAAGAGGGGTCAAACTCGGCCCAGAAGAGATCACTAAATTACTGAAACCTGCATGGAGGACTTCTAAAACCTCCTCAGACACGTTTTCGATGAGGGAACAAGTTATAGTGTTATAGAAGATTTAATGTGACATGTGATTGTGATTAGATCATTTCTCCAATTTTAAATGTTGTACAAACTCATCCGAGCCCTTTTCTACCAAAACTAAATATTAATTAGTTTAAATATTCTGGCCGTGTTATAGATTTACAGTAAATAAAGTCAATAAAGACATGAACTCTGAGTAAAATCTTCCTGCTGAGGTTCTGACCGAGTCCAGGTCCAGGTCCAGGTCCAGGTCTGGAGATGGTCCCTGTAGATTCTGACAGGTTTCCCCGGTGACTTTGAGGGACGGTCAAATTTAGATGTTGAAATAAAGTGCATCTCTCAAACTTTTGTCACCAAGTCTCACTTTAGACGATATTTACCCTTCGCAGTCCCGCAAGATCCTAAAAGAAGGGAAAAGGAGTGAAGCGCAACATGTGAAAAAGGACCATCGCTGCATTTCTCTTTCCTTGGAAAATTGGAATGGAAAAGCTTTAACTCTAAACATGAACTCTGGGTAAAATCCTCCGGCTGAGGTCCTGACCGAGTCCAGGTCCAGATCTGGAGATGGTCCCCAGAGGATGCAGAGGACGGGGGAATAAAGTGTAACTCTCAAACTTTTCTCACCAAGTAGAGAGTATTTACCCTCTGGAGTCCCGCAAGATCCTAAACCTCTAAAACTAGGGGTGTCAAATTATCACGTTAATTGCGATTAATTAATTACAGTCATATTTAGCGCGTTATGTTTTTTAATCTCTTAATTTCTCGCGTACGCTGCGTAAACCGCACTTCCTCCTGTGAGCCTCTAAACCAGAACTAACACCAAGACTAAAACCGGGACTAACCCAGTCCAGGACCAAACCAGGACTAAACCAGGACTAAAACCAGAACTAAAACCAGGTCTAAACCAGGACTAAAACCAGAACTAAAACCAGAACTAACCCATTCCAGGACTAAAGTAGGACTAAAGCAGGTCTAAACCAGGACTAAAACCAGGACTAAAACCAGTGATCTCATATATAAAGCATTTCTCTATCAATAATATTTTTAATATGGTTAAGGAAAGACTGGACTTTTTATTGTCTTTAAGTCGACAAAAGTTATTATGTTCAGATTTCCTCGTCTTTGCTACTTTACAGCAAACAGTTTCTTATTCATGGAGACTTGGGCTCAACAGCCAATTTGGAGAGATTTGTTAAACAATAAATGACTTTATAAAGTCACTTTTTGTAAATCTATATCAGTGTTTTGATCTGCCACAATAATGTAATAATGAATTTAAATGAAAATACCTCAAATTGAAGCTTTTCTCAGCAATTTTAGGTGAGATTAAAAAGAGATGAATTAGATTAATTAATTACAGATCATAATTAATTAATCTCTCAATTTTTTTAATCGCATGACAGCACTATCTAAAACATCACCAGTCTGTTTCCAGTTGGTGCTAAACCAGATCAAAAATAAGATTTCACATTTGCTTTATTAGTTCTTAAAAAGGTTAAATGTCAAGTCTAGTTTTACTCAACAAAGAGTCGTCCTCCCACATGTACAGAGATGAAATACTTTGTTGTTCAGTTTGGTCTGATTGAGTCATTTCTGTTGAGAAATACATTCACATTCATAAGATTTTTAGTCGTCCTCCTTTTTCACATTTGTGTCTTTGTAGAACTTTTAAAATTGGAGAAATGAGCCAAAGATGAAATGATCTTAATCACAATCATGTCACATTAAATCTTTCTTGAGTTTTCTACCAAGCTATAACTTGTTCCCTCATCGAAAACGTGTCTGAGGAGGTTTTCGATCTCCTCCATGCAGGTTTCAGTAATTTAGTGATCTCTTCTGGGCCGAGTTTGACCCCTCTTTAATTTTAGATTCTGTCCAACGCTCAGACCACAAATCTAACTATAAAAATAAACCAGTGATGAATAAAAATATGACTAAAACCTACAAACGTTTGTGTCAACTGATAAAACTTTACAACACAAATGTGAAAAAGGAGGACGACTGAAAATCTATGAATGAAAAATAATCATGTGAATGTTTTTCTCAACAGAAATGACTCAATCAGACCAAACTGAACAACAAAGTATTTCATCTCTGTACATGTGGGAGACGGACTCTTTGTTGAGTAAAACTAGACTTGACATTTAACCTTTTTAAGAACTAATAAAGCAAAAGTTAAATCCTATTTTTGATCTGGTTTAGCACCAACTGGAAACAGAATGGTGATGTTTTAGAGGTTTAGGATCTTGCAGGACTCCAGAGGGGAAATATTGTCTAAGGTGGGACTTGGTGAGAAAAGTTTGAGAGGGACACTTTATTCCATCGTCCTCTGCATCTGAACAAACCCTCAAAGTCACTGGGGAAACTTGCCAGAAACTACAGGGACCATAGAGATGAGCGGATTGCGGTTACAACTGTATCCGCGGTTAATATATTTTAATTAAATTCGGGCGGGTGGCGGGTTATCTACTTAAAAAAAAAAAAAAAAAAAGTTATTGTTAGTATTGTTACGTACATCTGAAAAGACGAGTGTCATTGTCTGTGCTTGTATGAAGTGGACGTCATGTCCTTAATTAGCCCATTTGACCTCGTTTTTATGTTCTGAAGGTTCAGGTTGTGTCGGGTTATTGATGCCTAACGTTTACGAGGCACATTTTATATGCAGTTTGTTTTATTATTTCTAATTTATTTCAGCTGTTTGCCAACACATAAGTGGCTATAGGGACATATTTATTTAGTTATATTTTTTCTTGCCTATTTCAGTTGGAATATAAAGAGGACATTGCCTGATTTCAATAAAGGTTCATCTGGATGAGATGATTTGTCTATTTTGTTTCAATATCAGTTATATTTTAAAACACGCAGACATTATAGCGTCGACTGCCACTCGGGGGATTTAAAACTTAAAGAAAGACCGATGGAGTGAGGCTATGACTTTGAAATAACATCGGGCAATGGCAGAATGTTCAGAATGTAACAACATCCAACACGAAGGCAAGAAGGTTCAAAAACAGCCTCGTCGGAAAACGTTGTCAGTTAATTAGCTGCGCAAGAAAACCAGGTAAGTCTGGGGTTGTTACGGACAATTAAGAATGTGAACAAACACGCTGAGCCAATTTTGGAACGAATGAGCTATAGTGTTTGCATTTTTATCGAGGCTCCTTAGTTTGTTTGCTGTATGATTGTTCTAAAATCTAAAATCAATCGGCGGATGGCGGCGGGGGCGGTTTTGAAAACCTTTGGTGCAAAATGGACAGCGGCGGATGATGAGTTTTGTGTCGCGGTTGCGGATGAAAAAATAGCCCATCCACAACATCTCTAAAGGACCATCTCCAGATCTGGACCTGGACTCGGTCAAGTTCATGAGTTCATGTCTTTATTGACTTTAGTTACTGTAAATCTATAACACAGCCAGAATATTTAAACTAAGAGATTTAGTTTTGGTAGAAAGGGGCTCGAGTGACTTTGTAGAACATGTAAAATTGGAGAAATGAGCCAAACTCACCCGAGCTCTTTTCTACCAAAACTAAATCTCTTAGTTTAAATCTATAACACAGCCAGACTTTAAAGTAACTAAAGTCAGTAAAGTGTCCGTTTTGCCTCGTGTAAATGTGTAAATGTGTAACTGTGTAAATGTTTCTTCTCCAGTGCCGTCAGCTGGTGTCTCTGTGCGACGACATCCTCCAGTCCAGTTCCGAGCGTCTTCTCTCTCACACGGCGGAGCTCGAGAGCGTCCACCTGGTGCCCGCCGCTCCCGGAGACCCTCTGGTAAACACTCTGAGCTCTTCACACTCACACGCTGATGCTTTTAGGATTAGAACCATGATGATTGTGTTCTAACATGTGATTGTTTTTTTGTTTTTTTTCCAGGGCATCGAGATCACGTCAACCAGCTCCACCAACCACTATGTGACCGGAACTGCTCTAGAGGTGAACTTTTAACTACATATACGACTTATTTATTTTGCACGTATATAACATAATAAAAAAATAAAAATAAAACACACATTAGATAAAAAAGTAGGTGCTGGTAGAGGCAAAAAACCCCAAAGTGCAAATGTTAAAGCCTCCACGTTACGAATACATAAAAAATTCAACATTCCCTGTCTGAGGAATCTGCCTGCGTCACCAGGGCAGATGATGTTATTACGTAAACTTTTACACCTGCTTCAGTGGATCCAGGCAAAACCTCCATCTGTTACACAATGGTACAGAGAGACTTTCAAAGTTTTCCCAATGGAGACGCCTCAGTGTCTCTTAAAAGGCAATTCAAACACTTTCTATAAAATATGGCGACTCTTTCTGGACCACCTTCCTCCGGACTTGGCTGATGTGCTTTATAAAAGGAGGTTCCCAATTTGTTTTTAATTTTAATCGATAATTGTGCGGTGTTTATTTCTTTTTCATTTTGGCTCTGACTCAGACCTTGTGACGGTCTTTGTCCATTTGGTTCTATGCAGATTAAGCTGTGCTGGATTGTTTTGATTGTTCTATTTTGTTAAAAAAGACAAATTATTGTTCAAAAAAAAAAAACACACATTCAACATTCAACATACAGATTACAGATTACACACACCAAAATGTAGTTTGTAACGTAATTCATTAAATTACTTAAAGTGAGTAATGTAATCTGAATACTTTGGATTACTTGATTTGTTGTAGAGAAACAAAGACGAGGAAATCTTCACATAAGAAGTTTTGTCTGATAAAAGAAAATAAAAAGTCCAGATTTTACTCAACCATAATAAAAATATTGATAGAAGATGAAGAAACACGTCCACACAGCAGGATTTAGACCTGGTTTAGACCTGATTTTAGACCTGGTTTAGACCTGATTTTAGACCTGGTTTAGTCCTGATTTAGACCTGATTTAGACCTGATTTAGACCTGGTTTTAGACCTGGTTTTAGACCTGGTTTAGACCTGGTTTAGACCTGGTTTAGACCTGGTTTAGACCTGATTTAGACCTGATTTTAGACCTGATTTTAGACCTGATTTTAGACCTGATTTTAGACCTGGTTTAGTCCTGATTTAGACCTGATTTAGACCTGGTTTTAGACCTGGTTTTAGACCTGGTTTAGTCCTGGTTTAGTCCTGGTTTAGTCCTGGTTCAGTGTCCGGCAATGAGTGGAATTATGGGAAAAAAAAAAAAAAAGGCAAATTTAGCCCAAAATGTAAAAAACAGGAAAATCCCGCTGTGTAATCCATTTATTTCAACAAAGTAACTGTAATCCGATTACCACTCACTGAAACAGTAACTGTAACTGAATACAATTACTCATAATTTGTACTCTGATTACTCTGGTACATGTAATCTGTTACTCCCCAGCACTGTGAACACATTAAATTCATGTGATTCAAACATGGATTAAAATACAATGAAACATCCACAATGGAATAATTATCAAACATGATCAAATATCAAACATTTCCTCAAAGTCTTTTTAAACAACGTTCCTGATGCGTCACAAACCAGACGTGAAAACTCCGACCCAATTTCCCGTCTCTGGATCGAAACAAATCTGAACTCTGCATGTGGCACATTTCAGAACATGAAAATTATGATTTTGACGATGATTGTATCTACGAATCTGCATTGGTTTTAAAGTAAAATGTGAAATGTTTGGTGATCGTAGTGGAACTATAAAGAATTTTATACATGAAAATACAGATTTGTTAAATGAATATGATAACTAACTTCGCTGGTGGCAGGAATCTCACCTGTTTATCTCCATGTCTTTGGTTTTGGCTGTAAATTTTCACAGTACTGAGCTTTAATGTGTTTCCATGGAGACAATCAGGTATCATCACTACTGGTTAGATCTGTGGAGACACAAACGCATTCACAGGAACTATTAGGATGTAACGGTTCATATATTCATGCTGAATCATTTCAGTTCGGTGTAGATCTGTGCACGAGTGAGTTTGAGCAATTTGTGTGTTTACATTTCACCTCTACACGTGCAGCTACACAGAGACTCAGCTCTTTAATATTCACAAGGAAACTGTGATTGGTTCAGTGTTTCCTGCAGCGCTTTATAGTTGGAGCGACACCTTCACAACAACTGCCCCCCAACCACATGAATCCTGTCAAAACCACAGTCGTCGCTCCATGGTCTTCAATCTCGCCTTCCCCCGTTCCCCTCCATCCCCGCCGACTTCTGTCCCGAGCGAAAGTGCATTTTCAACCTCTGGGACAAGTTGTTTTTTTTCTGAAGCTTGAGTAAAAGTTTGTGCTGGAACTGTTGGTGCTGCACTTTACTTTTTGAAAAGTTTAGTTTAGAGTTTACAAGGAATTTAATTTTTATAATATTTCAAAAATGTGTTGCTTATTTGAGAACATTTTATTTCACTTATTAGTTTTACCAAGCAGCACTTCGCATTTATTTTATTTTCCCGTTTGTATAATGTTCAAACTAATAGTTAATTTAATAAAAACACAAATAAACGACAAGCAAATGGTGTCACCCACACTGAACTGAAAATGAACCGAACCTTGACCTCAAAAACCAAACCGAACCGTGATTTTTGTACCGTTACATCTCTAATAAATCTGCATGTTTAGAGCTCAAAAATACCAGGTCATCAGAGTCTGGAATGGAGCGACTGGAGACAAAAATAAATAAGTGTTTTACGAGACTATTCTTAACTTCGTAACTCTTTTTTTTTTTTATAAGTTATAGTACCAGGATTCAGGCACAGTGGACAGAGTTTTACTTTCGAGCACGACTACAAACTGAGCATGACTTGTCCTTAAAAAGAATCCATCCACAGCTCATTTTCTTCTGGTTGTGTTCTTTGTGTCGTGTCCTGACGTCTCCTCAGCCGTCTGCTGATGTCAGTCTGAGGATCTTGGCCGGAGATGAAGTCATTCAAGTCAACGACCAGATCGTGGTGAGTCAGCGACCCGGCGAAGTTTATGAATGGAAGAGTTTGTGTCCTAACGCGCGGTTCTGTGAGGCAGGTGGGCTGGAGCCGAGCCAACCTGGTGAAGAAGCTCAAAGAAGATCCGAATGGAGTCACGCTGGTCCTGAAGAAGGTCCCCGGGTCAAAGAAACTTCAGAACAAAACTCCGGAGCTCAGCGTCTCCTTAGCGCAGGTTGGAATTATTATTTTTACTTTTATTATAAGCAACGAGACATGAGATTTCTGAACATATATTTACATGAATTGATTCAGTATAATAATTATTCCTTTTCTCGTTACCTTTAAAGATAAATATTGTCTTCATTGTGTAGATCTAAAGACATAATTTTACTCCAAGTTAGACTTTCTTTGCAGTGTTTGAAAACTCTCTAACTTGTTCTTCTCTAGTATCTTTTAATAAGCTGTGAATCCGTCTTGTGTCCAATTTTTAATTGGTTTTAGCATTTGTCTTTTGACTGAAAGGATTTTTTGTTTAGTTGTACGTTTTATTCAGGTACAATTAACTCAGAACATGAACTCTGAGTAAACTCCTCGTGCTGAGGTCCTGACCGAGCCCAGGTCCAGATCTGGAGAAGGTCCCTGTAGTTTCTGGCACGTTTCCCCAGCGGCTTTGTCAAGTCTTTAATTATTATTTATAATTTACCTTTTACACATTAACTTAAATAGCTACAATTTTAACCATTGTATCATTTTATCAATTAATTTTTAATCTTAAATATAACTTATTACATTTATTTCATATAGTCACTTAAAATAGTATAAAAATATTTTATTATTTTAATTATTATTATAAAAATTTTATTTTTTATTGCAATTTTTTTTATTTTATTTTTTATTATTATTTTTATTTATTTAATTAATTAATTTATTTTTATTTATTTATTTTATTTATTTTTAAATTTATTTTTAATTAATTTTTTTTATTATGATTTTATTTTTATTTTTTTATAACATTTTTTTATTTATTTATTTTTGCATGCTACCTAACTTACATTTCACACCATTTACCTTAAATCTGATCTTTTACTTTATATTTAAATAATCAAATGCCAATTATCAAATTATTTATTTATTCAATTTAGCTTTATTTAACATTTTGAAACTTAAAATTGTATTTATTTACTAATTTACTTCCATAAAATAAATCAGCCAATTGTATTCAAATTTAACCCAGGATTCTCATTGTACTTAAATTAAATAAAATTATAATTTTACATGTAAATTAAAGAGATTATTTCTATATGGGTTTACCACCACTTTACTATTTAACTAAACTTAAAAAAAATAATTGTACAGGTTAATTTACTCACTGGTCGTGTCTCTTGGTTTGGTTTGGTTTGTGTTTGTGTCTGTGCACCTGGGCCTGATTAAATGATTTCAGAGACTCACCTGTTCACCTGTTTTTCCTGCTGCCACCTACTGGACAGATTAAAAATAACCTCATCAACTCATAAAAAGGGAGGAGAGGAAGAGGAGAGAGGTTCAGGAGTGGAGGTGAAGACGTGGAGCAGAGGTGCTGGGCTTTTTGACGTTACAGGCTTTGAGGGGCTGGACACACGCAGAGGACGAGGGAATAATGTGCATCTCTCAAACTTTTCTCACCAAGTATCAACTTAGACAATATTTAGACTCCGGAGTAAAAGATCCTAAATCTCTAAAACATCACCTTTCTGCTTCCAGTTGGTGCTAAACCAGATCAAAAATACAATTTCACTTTTGCTTTATTAGTTCTTAAAAAGATTAAATCTCAAGTCTAGTTTCACTCAATAAATAATTCATTTCAAAAAGTGAATATTAAAATTCAGATGTTGATAATTTTAAGACTCTGCTTCAGAATCCTTCTCCCACATGTTCACAGATGAGTTACATTGTTCAGTTTGTTCTGGTTTAGTTGTTTCTGATCAGAAATACTTTAAAATCTTGATGTTTCATTCATAGATTTTCAGTCGTCCTCCTTTTTCACATTTGTGTTGTAGAGTTTTATCTGTTGACACAAACGTTTGTAGGTTTTAGTCATAGTTTTATTCATCACTGGTTTATTTTTATAGTTAGACTTGTGGGCCGAGCGTTGGACAGAATCTAAAGTTAAAAGACGGGTCAAACTCCGCCCAGAAGAGATCACTAAATTACTGAAACCTGCATGGAGGAGATCGAAAACTCTTCAGGTTCATGTTTTCGATTATGGAACAAGTTATAGGCGAGTTTCATTGTTGACAAAAGCGCGCGTTGCTGCTGGGAATTATTTTGGTCGGCGGCAAGAAACACTAATTCAACATGACGGACGGAGCGAGAAAACACGTAAAGGGTATTGATCCCGGTTATTTATCCAGTCTAACGGCAGACGACCCAAGACCATTTGACCAGAAATTGGTCATAAGCATCGACGGACGACAAATCACCCTTTTCAACCCCGACAAAAGGTGGAACAAACCAAATTTCTGGTCAGAATCTCCAACTACCTGGACAAATATTCACTTGGGCGACATCCACAATGACTTGGTGGAAACTCCTGGGCCATTCACAGCAGAAAAGATGAAAACCTCCAAGAGTCTGGATGTGTTGTTGAACTTGTTGGAGTCCACGGTTTGTTAGGATTAGGGATGGGCATGATTAGTCGATTAATCGATAATTGATCACTAAGAATTTCATCGATTATGTTAATTTTAATCGACAAACTGAATGTAGGTTGCTGTGTGTCGGGACCAAACAGGTGTGTACATGTGTCTCTGCATCAGAAGGAGCGAGACACAAACAGTGGGTCAGTCTGTAACGAACCGAAGCACAAATGTGGATTTAACCAGGATTTGTAGAAGAAATTCCACACTTTCCGTTGCGTTGGGACAAGTGTGAGTCCATGTGCACAGTGGATAAAGCAGCACATATGTTTCTGTGTCCAGTGGGAAAAAGTTTTTCCAGGTGAGAGTCGCTCAATGTGGATGACGAGGCCCCGCCCCCCTCCCCCCGTACGCTGTCCTGGTTTTGACAAACACAAATCTGGTCACACTGACCTGTATTCACCTGAGTCATGTCTTTTAATCCAACACAAGTTGAACCACATCAGCGACACAAGAGCTGGAGTTTTATCTTCACTTAGTTTATGTAAATTAGTGATGTGGTTTTAAGTTTTGTTTCTGTGAGATTTGAACAAAACTGAATTAAACACATTATAATGTCAAACAGCTGATGTGGATCTAGAGTCGTTATGTTTATATGTCGTAAAGTTGAATTTATTGATGCAGATTAGTGCAGATAGTAATAATAATGATAATGATGATCATTTTAATATAAAAACATTAATGATTAATCGATAATCGATCGTTAATTCTTCCGACGATCGATTAAGAAAATTTCATCGAATGCCCGTCCCTAGTTAGGATCTTCTACGTTTGCTCTGCGGATGTTTGAAAGTCGTTTAATTCACCGTTAGTGGTTCTTTTCACTCAGAATACGAAAAAGACATTTTCCTTCTTCCGTGCTTCTATTTGTGCGTCCGATAATGCAGCAGGAATTGACCATTATCGGGGATAAATACGCGAGGTTACGCACTGTGTTTGACGCTACCGTGTTTCTTGCCTCCGAACAAAATATTTCCCAGCAGCAACGCAGGGCTTTTAATAACAATGACGTCAGCTGAAACTCGCCTATAACCTGTTAGAAAACTCAAGAAAGCTTTAAAGTGACACTGTTTTTGATAAAAGTGTTTCTCTGCTGCTGCTGAATGTTCGTGTGTGTGTTTGTGTTTTGTTCCGAGGAGGAGGAGGAGGAGGTCAGGTCGGAGCCTTCAGACGAAGAGGAAGACAACCCCAGACATTCGATCTTTGAGCGAGTTGCAGCGTCCGTCAGGTCTTTGTCCTTCAGGTGAATATAAACATTTATTTTGATACTAAAGAGAAGGTTTGGGACTTGATTTCAACACCACGATGATAAAAACACAAAGGTTTCTTTACTATTACAACATGTGGACAGATCGTCGTCCTTGTCCTGCTCCACGGACAAACTCTGGACGTCCACTTCTTCAGATAAAAGATTGAGACACTTCTAAGACTCTTCAGAAAAGGCCCAGTTGTTTATTTTTTCAGTACTGACGTTTCAAAAGAGCATCTAAGTCTCATTTTTTATGACCTCAGGTGAACTCTTGAACGAACCTTTGTGTGCACGATCCTCCAGTGACCGTCACCAGATGATCGTGCACACAAGTAACTGAGATGAATGAAACGGCTGTAGATTTAAAGGTTGTAATAGAGGATTTTCCAAGGAACGAGAAAATCCAGCGACTGTTTGTCCTTTTTCAAACGTTGCGCATGTGTGAAACCACCTCCCCTCCCCCACAGCTCCTACGTAGAAACACCTCCTCCTTAAAACAAGTCCTCATCGCTGCACATGACTTGTAAACAACTGAGCGGGGAGGGGGGCGCGGACATTTCGTGCGCAGAAAAGAAGTGAGGAGCAGGGAGAAGAGAGGAGCAGGGAAGGGTGCGCGGAGATTCAGTGCGAATGAACTAACTACAACACGCAGCAGCAAGTGGACTCTTTCTTTGCATTGAAAATTACGTTTTCAGACACAGGATATCACATTCGTGTCCTGAAAAACGTTTGTGTAGCTCTTGGAAATAAAGTACGTTTTCATAATAAGCAGAAGTTTCCTGTCCAGGAGTAATTTGTGGACCAGTGGTTCAGTCTTTAGACTCTTCGTCTGCTTCAGTCGCGCCATCGCTGGAATGAATCTCCAAGAATCACCTTAGTTTGGCTTCGCTGCTTTTCCCCTTGTCTTCTTCTTTCACCTCAAAAACGGACTTTCTTTTGCGGTGAACTGCTCCTGGATTCTTGTCGCCATCGCAACAAACTTTGTGCGAACTGCGAGGAAGATATAGGTCAAAAAAGCCGCTAAGAACTGTTGCGTTGGTGGAGTAAACAGCGTCTGTGCGTCTTGCGTCTGTGGACTGTGTGACAGTCGTATGTAAACCACGTACCGGCGGCGCAGGCAAGTCAGTTACACTAGAAACGTAGGGAGTTTGATTGACAGCCTGTCAGCTCACAGATAACGAGGCAGTGTCGTTATCTATTGGCAAATGTTTAGCCCCACCACGTCCAGAGTTGATGAATTTTTATTCTCTTTTTTTTGGTCATCATAATTACAAGGCTACTGCATCTATAATCTATCACTGACAATTTGAAACAAAAAAAATCCTCCATACAACCTTTAAGCTGATTTGTAAAGATGAAGCTTTTGAGGACTGTTTTTCTTCTGTAGCGTCTGTGGGAAATGGTTTGTAACATTGACCTCGTTTAAGTTCTTCAGTAGTTGAAGTTCTACATTTAATAATATGAACAAAACTCACTCTTTTGGTTGAACTTCCACTGAGCCAAATTCTCAAAAATCTGATTCCGGTGAAGCTTATCTGTGATCACTTCTATAAGCTCCAACAGAGAACAGACTTGTCCACATGTCAAAATAAAAACCTCTGAGGATTTACAGCAGAACTCGCTGACGTTACTCACCAGCCTCCAGTGAGAAATTTGGAAGAAAAAGGAGGTGTTTTCCAGGTTGCTCAACCTGCAAGAAGTTTCCTGGAAATTGACAAATTTTACGTTTTATGGACAAAAAGTCACTTTTTATGGACTTTATGGACTTTCTAAATTATGTTTATGCAAGTTTCAGTTTGTGTTTGCAAAATAAAATGATAAATTATTCGAACAGGTCTTATTTATTTGGTTCTGTTATAGTTTAGGCTCTAGGGACATTTTCAAGTATCTTGAGCTCCTCTAAATATTCATTAATTTGCATAAAATTTTGACCCAAATATTTTGGACAGAGATGGAACCAAATGCAGGATTCTAATCTAGAGCATCTAAAAAAAAATGTTTTGGACCAGCCTACTGAACATGAGCAAATATCCTCTACAAACTGTCTGTGTTCATCATGTGTTTTTGTAAATGTGGCAGGAGAGCGATTCAGGGCCCAGAGGGACAGCAGCAGCAGCAGCAGCAGCAGCAGCAGCAGCAGCAGCAGCAGCAGCAGCAGCAGCAGCAGCTCGTGGGGCAGGAGGTGTTGGACTTGTCTTCGCTCAGAGACACTCAGAGGAGCCTGAGCTCGTCTCAGCTGCACCTGTCACCGTCTGCTCAGGGTAAACTTCATTAAACATCAGATTTCACTTTAGAATCCAGATTCTGGTCGTGTCCAAATCTTAGATAAACGATGAAAAATAGACGTAATCATAATGATTCAAGCCTTTCCTGCTTTGTCATTTGAAGTACACAACTTTTTTTTCATAAATGAGTAAATTCAGCTTCCCTCAGATACTGTGTTATAAAACAGAACTTTACACACTGTTGGTTGACAAAACACATGTCCTGCTGATCTTCAATCACTGATTAGTCGACTGAAAAGGGGTACATGGACATAGGTGGAGTTTGTGGGGGTCAGGGGTCACACTGCCCCCCCTAGTGGCTGAAATATGTCATGACATTGAGTCTATAATATGGCCAATACAAATATTTACTTTAAAAATTGATTAATATTTTAAATATGTCAATAAAACAAAAGGATTCTATGAAATAAATATAAATCCTAGTCTGAACCAGGACTGAACCAGGACTGAACCAGGACTAAACCAGGACTAAACCAGGACTAAACCAGGACTGAACCAGGACTGAACCAGGACTAAACCAGGACATGAGAGAGAAGGAGAACTCAGTATCCACAAAGTGTGATCAGGTGATGGCTGTGCTTAGCCTCGTTCTGCGTGATCCTTTTGCCTGTGGTCACCCGACAGTCCACACCGGCCTCCAGGCTCGTCCCGACATTCAGTCCTGGTTCAGTTCTGGTTTAGTCCTGGTTTAAACCTGGTTCAGTCCTGCAGATTCCATGAGCCTGTGCAGTTTTGTTTTCACCGTTGCTCCAGTTTGACATTTAAGTTGTAGTTGTTTTATATTTGTTATTTTTTAATATCTCACACCGGGAGAAGTGTGTGGATGTCGAATCCTCACGCACCAGGAACACTACACCCTGATCCTGTGTGCTGCTCCGTGTAGTTTGTCTTTATGTGAGTCGTGTGTGTGTAAGTGTTGTGTGTAATGTCACAGAACAGTTATAAAGGACAGCAGTGTGGACAGTAAAGACATAATCTCATTGTATAAGGCACAGGTGTCAAACATAAGGCCCGGGGGCCAGATCCGGCCCTCCAAGACCTTTAATGTGGCCCTTGGGTGATTTTCTACTAAAATATTTTAATTATATTTTCTATTAAAATATTGGTAATTTTCTGTGGTGTTTATCACAGCAGCGTCTCCAGCGTCTCTGTACGTGGCCCCTCCCACCAGAGCAGCACAAATGAAGACTTGTCTCTTTCCAAACGCTCTTAAAGGACGATCGTTTTGACTGTTGACCGTGACACCCTCATCAGAAAAATGTCCAACATGAGAAAAGTGGAGCCGAGTGCAGGATTTTACAAGAAATACTGACTTATACCTGTTTGCAGACAAGTTCATGTTAAAACATTGTGTTGAAATGGAATTTTTCTTGAAGTTTCAGGTTGTTCATAATATTATAATATTATAATAAGAAAGAGTTCATCAATTAAAAAAGATTTCTGTAATAGATTTGTGTTTCTCTGCACAAATATTTGAACTTATTGTTATTTTTGGGGTTTATATGACATGAGTTTTCTGATCCGGACACTTTGGGATCAAAGTAGGTTGGATACGGCCCCCGAACCAAAATGAGTTTGACACTCCTGATCTAAGGTGTTACTTACTGTGCACATGGCAATACACACTTTAAATCTTGAATCTAGTGCCCTGATGTTAAAATATTTGCCTAATTTTTTGAATAAATTAGGACTTTTAACATTTTTTTCCTAAATTTATGTCATGCATGTCCCAGCAGAACTTCATTGTACAGAGAAACTTGTGGTCGTCACTGCAAAAATAAAATACTATACAAAAAGTGATCACAGACGGGACCGGAAACTCTCATGGTTTTTGGGGGTGTTGTTCATAGAAAAACCTGTTCGTTTTTCTGTGCAGAGTGAATGACTTTTTTGTTTTTTTTTGTTTTTTAGTTGAGGATCGTGAAGGTGCTCGATCTCCCAGAGGAAGATCCCCCAGGAGAGCGAGTGGGGAGGAAAGCAGCGGCGGCTCGGATATGGTGGGACACACGGTAAGAGCACTAAAAACACTGCTTTTGTAAAGTCTAACTCCACAATATTTTATTATTATTTGCTTATTTATTCCATTCATAAAGTATAAAAAAACATCAACGGTGTCACAACATCAAACCTGCAAGAAATGAATGTAAAAGAGCAGAAAGAAGAAGAGCCGTCTTATGTTTTTTGCTCCTTTTCCCCTTTTCCAGACAAAACATCAACACTGAAGTCAGGGTTTGAACAAGCGAGAGTCCACACGTGTTTAAAAAGAGTACAGATTATAGATATTTATTTAAAAACTAAGAGTTAATGAAGTTGTGGCCGCGTGGTGGAGAGGAGAGAAAAAACAGTCTCCAGCAGCACTCGAAGGTGGGGCCACAACTTTATTTGAACCTGCTTTTAAATAAATATCTCTTTTTGTTCCGCTTTTTAAACTTGTGTGGACTCTCCCTTGTTCGAACCCTGAGCCAGTTCGTAAGACAAGACTTTGAGGAGACTTAAAGGTTGTATAGAGGATTTTCCAAGGAACGAGAAATCCAGCGACTGTTTGTCCTTTTTCAAATGTTGCGCATGTGTGAAACCACCTCCCCTCCCCCACAGCTCCTACGTAGAAACGCCTCCTCCCTCCTCCTCCTTTACGCCACAAACAGGTTTGTTTACAGCCGGTGAACTGCACATGACTTGTAAACAACTAACTACAGTGTTGGTTAGGACAAGACGGAGAAGTGAGGAGCGGGGGAGGGGTGTGCGGACATTTCGTTCGCGGACGAGAAGTGAGGAGCAGGGAGAAGAGAGGAGCAGGAAAGGGGAGCAGAGAAGGTTGCGCGGAGATTCAGTGCGAATGAACTAGCTACAACACGCAGCAGCAAGTGGACTCTTTCTTTGCCTTGAAAATTACGTTTTCAGACATAGGATATCGCTTTCGTGTCCTGAAAAAACGTTTGTCTAGCTCTTGGAAATAAAGTACGTTTTCATAATAAGCAGAAGTTTCCTGTCCAGGAGTAATTTGTGGACCAGTGCTTCAGTCTTTAGACCCTTCGTCGTCTGCTTCAGTCGCGCCATCGCTGGAATGAATCTACAAGAATCACCTTAGTTTGGCTTCGCTGCTTTTCCCCTTGTCTTCTTCTTTCACCTCAAAAACGGACTTTCTTTTGCGGCGAACTGCTCCTGGATTCTTGTCGCCATCGCAACAAACTTTGTGCGAACTGCGAGGAAGATATAGGTCAAAAAAAGCCGCTAAGAACTGTTGCGTTGGTGGAGTAAACAGCGTCTGTGCGTCTTGCGTCTGTGGACTGTGTGACAGTCGTACGTAAACCACGTACCGGCGGCGCAGGCAAGTCAGTTACACTAGAAACGTAGGGAGTTTGATTGACAGCCTGTCAGCTCACAGATAACGAGGCAGTGTCGTTATCTATTGGCAAATGTTTAGCCCCACCACGTCCAGAGTTGATGAATTTTTATTCTCTTTTTTTTGGTCATCATAATTACAAGGCGACTGCATCTATAATCTATCACTGACAATTTGAAACAAAAAAAAATCCTCCATACAACCTTTAAGTCGACAATATCCTGCACTTTAAGTTGAACAAATAATGGGTTGGATCATGTCTCTCTACAATATGTTTAAACTGTTGCATCAAACATGACAAACACTTAGAGACACGTCCAGCTTGTGCTTCGTCTTCATGTTTGACGAGGATGAGGAGGGACATTAATCTAACATTTAACTCGGTTTCTCTTCACTTTCAGGGTAACAAAGATGCAAAGAAGAGTTCCACCAAAGGTAACTGTCCACAGGGTTTGAACATGTCTCTGATGACCACACGGTAATGGAAAAATAAATAATAATACCCACTGAATTTAAATTAAAATTGAAGTATTGACCTTTTTCACAACAGCGGGAAGTGCCACAAACTTTTGGTTAATGGTTTTCTGTGTCAAAATGTGTGTAAATGTGTCGTATTCTTCATAAATCTGCCCCATCACCAAATCTTCAACCAACAAACTCCACAAAAAGATAAACATTCTAACATGAAGAATTTATCCACAACGATCAAGACAAGAAAGACAAAAACTTAAAGAACAACGAGCCACATTAGTCACACAACAAACTCAACTCATGTCATGATCATGAAGAAAACAGAAGGAACTTGTTCACTCAGACTCATTCTACAATTAAAATAAAACATTGATTTCATGATGTTAATCTGTGTGTCATTCGTTCATTCGTTTTTCAATATAAAACCAAAAATAAGAAAACGAAAAAACAACAGTTTTCTTCGTTATTTGTCTCCAAAACCAAAATGAAAAAACAGATAACGATTCGTTTTTTCAGTTTTCGATTTTGTGTTTAAATGAAGAATGGAAAAAAACGGATAACGGCCGTTTCCCGTTTACGTGACTTCAGTGACTGCGATGCCGGACTTTTGCACCGGGTACGGACTGAACCAGGACTGATCCAGGTCCGAGACCAGAGCGGGACTAGAGCGGGACCAGACCAGGACCAGAGCGGGACCAGGGTGGACTCCAAGCTTTGACTCTGAGCCTCCGCGGGGTCCGAGCCTCAGCTTCGAGCTCCGGTCCTGCCGTGGGCTCTGAGCCTCCGGTCTGGTCCTGGTCTGGTCCCGGACCTGGTCCATTTGAACCAAAAGCTCTTAGTTCGGTTCGTTTTCGTTGGTGTGAAAGCGTCAGTTTGATGTTTTGCTCCACCTCGGAACCAGTCGTGGTTCTTGAGTGTGGAGGACTGGATCAGCCCGTCCGGACCTGTAGTCCACAGAACATTCTCACTTTCCCCACACAGAACCAGCGCACAGACGATGACACGGAACCACTCGGACCACTGGTCTCGGTCTCAGTCCCGCTCTGGTCTCGGACCTGGATCAGTCCTGGTTCAGTCGTACGCGGTGCAAAAGTTCGGCATCGCAGTCACTGAAGTCACGTAAACGGGAAACGGCCGTTATCCGTTTTTTCCATTCTTCATTTAAACACAAAATCGAAAACTGAAAAAACGAATCATTATCTGTTTTTTCATTTTGGTTTTGGAGACAAATAACGAAGAAAACTGTTGTTTTTTCGTTTTCTTATTTTTGGTTTTATATTGAAAAACGAATGAACGAATGATACGTGGATTGATGTTGATATTAACATAAACAGAGAGATTTGTGCAGTTTAAATGTTCCAGATGTTCAGATTACATGTAAATCTCTCTGTCTATGTAAATATCGACATCATGAAATCAGTTTATAATTTTAATTGTAGAATCAGTCTGAGTGAACAAGTTCCTTCTGTTTTATTCATGACCGTAACTTTAGTTTTGTTCACTGTTCACTCGTGCTTTTCCTTTTTGCAGTCAGCCTTATGTTCCTGTATTTCCAAGATTTTTCTTATTTCTAAAATTTGTTCTCAAAATTAAACTCTTAAGTTAAATCATTTTTTTATTTTCAGTTAAAGGGATGACTTACAGTTTCATTTTCATTTCAACCTCGGGTCTACGTCACATCCGTAGTCTGTGCTGCTGGAGAACAGGTCGGGTGGAACTGATGACGATAAATGGGACAAATGGGATAAATTCTGATGCAAAATGATGATAAAGGAAATGAGGGAACATAGAGACGCTCCATCATTTTTTAGCTCTTAAAGGTTGTATGGAGGATTTTTTTTTTAGTTTCAAATTGTCAGTGAAAGTTTAAAATACGATTACAGAAATGCCGCAGCCTTATAATTATGATGAACAAAAAAAAAAAAAAAGAATGAAAATCTATCAGCTGAGGATGTAGTGAGGCCAGATAAACATCAGCCAATAGAAAACGAGGCTGCCTCATTTTCTATTGGCTGTTAGGTCGTCAATCAAACTCCCGACGTTTCTAGTGTAACTGACTCGTCGTCGCGTTGGGATTACGTGGTTTATGCGGCGGTTCTTAGAGGCTTTTTTAAACTGTAACTTCCTCGCATTTCGCACAAAGTTTGTCGCGACGGCGGACGACAACCCACGACCGGTTCGCCGCAAAAGAAAGTCCGTTTTTGAGGTCGCTGAAAGAAGAAGAGAAGGGGAAAAGGAGCAAAGCCAAACTGAGGTGATTCTTGAAGATTTCTTCCAGGGATTGTGTGAATGAAGCAGACAAAGGGTCTAAAAACTGACGCGTCGGTGGCTGTTATTTCTAGACAGGAAACTTCAACAGTAATGGTGAACGTGCACTTGCTGTAAACAAGCGTGATTTCTAGAGTAAAGAGGCGGGAGGAGATGTTTCTACCGAGGCAGCGGTAGAAACAACATTTGAAAACGGACTCTCACTGTATTTCTTTTCCCTTTAAAAAAGCCTCTGTACAACCTTTAAGTTTTCATCTTTCTTCCCTTGACAGTTGTGGATAAATTCTTCATGGGAGAATGTGAATTAATCAATCACTGCGTTTATTTAGCGCCTTTGAAGACACCCAAAGCGCTTTACAGATCATTATTCATTCAATCCGCACTCTGTGGTGTAAACTACTGTTGTAGCCACAGCTGCCCCGGGGCAAGGCTGCCAATCTGCGCCATCGAACTCTCCAACCACCACCAACACACACTGCACTTTCATACTGGGCAATGTGGGTGGAGTGTCTTGCCTAAGGACACAGCGACGCCTCCTGTGGCTCCTGGTTTTCCGAGCGGTCGCCAATCCAAGTCCAGACCAGACCTGGACCTGCTGAACTTCTGAGATCTGACGGGATCAGGGAGTTTTTGGTTGAAGATTTGGTGATGGGGCAGATTTATGAAGCTGCTGGAGAATAAGACACACACTTACACACACATTTTGACACAGAAAACCTTGAAACATAACCAGAAGTTCCTGAAACCTACAGCAGGACACTTCCAGCCGTTGTGAAAGAGGTTTATTCAGTTTTTAAGAGTCAGAGTCTGTAGAAATTTACTGTAATTTCAACCAGTTTACAGTTTAAACGTACGTCTGTTAATGTGGATGTGATCTCTGTGTAATATTTGGATCTGTCCAAGTACAGTTTGTAGAATCCGTGTGTCGTTCGTTCATTCGTTTTTCAATATAAAACCAAAAATAAGAAACAAAAAAACAACTGCTTTCTTCATTATTTGTCTCCAAAACCAAAATGACAAAACAGATAATGATTCATTTTTTCAGTTTTCGATTTTGTGTTTAAATGAAAAATGGATAACGACCGTTTCCCGTTTACGTGTGACTTCAGTGACTTGGTCCCGGTCTGGACTTCAGTTCCCGGACTGACCGGACTCATCCAGGACTGGTCCCAGGTCTGGACCCGACTCCAGACCGGACCAGACGGACTGGACCGGACCAGACCGGACCAGAGTCCCGGACTCAGTCCCGGCTGGTCCCGGTCTGGTCCGGTCTCAGTCCCGCTCTGGTCCGGTCTGGTCCCAGTCTCAGTCTGGTCTCAGTCCCCGTCCCTGGTCCGGTCTGGTCTTGGTCTCCCGGTCTCAGTCCCGGTCTGGTCTCTGGTCCCGCTCTGGTCCCGTCTCAGTCCCTGGTCTCAGTCCCGGTCTGGTCCCGGTCTGGTCTCCCGGTCTGGTCCCGGTCTCGGTCCCGTCTGGTCCCGGTCTCAGTCCCGGTCTGGTCCCGGTCTGGTCCGGTCTCAGTCCCGGTCTGTCTGGTCTGGTCCCGGTCTCGGTCTCGGTCTCAGTCCCGGTCTGGTCCCGGTCTCAGTCCCGGTCTGGTCCCGGTCTGATCCCGGACCTGGTTTAGTCCTGGTTCAGTCCGGCATCACAGTTTAAGTCACGTAAACGGTCGTTATCCGTTTTTTTTCCATTTTTCATTTAAACACAAAATCGAAAACTGAAAAAACAAATCATTATCTGTTTTTTCATTTTGGTTTTGGAGACAAATAATGAAGAAAATAGTTGTTTTTTCATGTTCTTATTTTTGGTTTTATTTTGAAAAACAAATGAACGACACACAGGTTTTGCAGTAGTGATACTAGTAGTGATACTCGTGGTCTTTGTGAACAGGTATGACTTCGGCCCTGAGCAGACGCAGAGTTTCGTGTCGGGAGCTGGGCCGTCCCGACTGCGACGGTTGGCTGTGGAAGAAGAGGAGGGACAGCGGAGTCTTCGTCACGCAGAAGTGGCAGAGGTTCTGGTTCATCCTCAAGGGGCCGGCGCTGTACTGGTACACGACCCGCGAGGTGAGAGCCACGCCCCCACGACCAGCACACACTCACCCACGCTACAAGTCCTAACAGAACTACTATTTATCTGAGCAGAAGAAGAAACGAGAATAAGACCAAGTACAAGACTGTAAAACTAGCAGTGTCGGGAAGGTGACTTTTAAAATGTAATCCCCTACAGATTACAGATTACACACACCAAAATGTAGTTTGTAACAGAATCCATTAAATTACTTAAAGTGAGTAATGTAATCTGATTACTTTGGATTACTTGATTTGTTGTAGAGAAACAAAGACGAGGAAATCTTCACATAAGAAGTTTTGTCTGATAAAAGAAAATAAAAAGTCCAAACTTTACTGAACCAAATTAAAAATATTATTGATAGAAGAAGAAGAAACACGTCCACACAGCAGGATTTAGTCCTGTTAAATCCTGGTTTAGACCTGGTTTAGACCTGGTTTTAGTCCTGGTTTAGATCTGGTTTAGTCCTGGTTTAGACCTGGTTTAGACCTGGTTTAGTCCTGGTTTAGACCTGGTTTAGTCCTGGTTTAGTCCTGGTTTAGACCTGGTTTAGTCCTGGTTTAGTCCTGGTTTAGACCTGGTTTAGACCTGGTTTTAGTCCTGGTTTAGATCTGGTTTAGTCCTGGTTTAGTCCTGGTTTAGACCTGGTTTAGTCCTGGTTTAGTCCTGGTTTAGACCTGGTTTAGACCTGGTTTAGTCCTGGTTTAGACCTGGTTTAGTCCTGGTTTTAGTCCTGGTTTAGACCTGGTTTAGTCCTGGTTTAGTCCTGGTTTAGACCTGGTTTAGTCCTGGTTTAGACCTGGTTTAGTCCTGGTTTAGTCCTGGTTTAGTCCTGGTTTAGACCTGGTTTAGACCTGGTTTTAGTCCTGGTTTAGTCCTGGTTTAGTCCTGTTTAGACCTGGTTTTAGTCCTGGTTTAGTCCTGGTTTAGTCCTGGTTTAGACCTGGTTTAGACCTGGTTTAGACCTGGTTTTAGTTTAGACCTGGTTTAGTCCTGGTTTAGACCTGGTTTAGACCTGGTTTAGTCCTGGTTTAGTCCTGGTTTAGTCCTGGTTTAGACCTGGTTTAGTCCTGGTTTAGTCCTGGTTTAGTCCTGGTTTAGAAAACCTGGATATAGTCCAAAATGTAAAAACAGTTAAAATCCCTCTGTTTAATCCATTTATTCCAACAAAGTAACTGTAATCCAATTACCACTCACTGAAACAGTAACTGTAACTGAATACAGTTACTCATCATTTGTACTCTGATTACTCTGGTACATGTAATCTGTTACTCCCTGACACTGAAATCTAGTATATGAGACTGAGGGATACAAAGACCAGGACTGCATGGATAATACAGAAATACACATAAACAGTAGTGATTCCAAAAAAGTGATCATCAAACCTCCATGTTTGTTTTCCCAGTGGGACGTGTCTATTGTCAAAGTCGATCTTTTCAAGTCTTTTGAACCATTTCACTTTTGTTTCTGGTTCTGATATTGTCATATTTTAGTTTTGGGATTCGGACGTCGTTAATTGTTGTGGTTGTTGATGTTCTAACAGCGGAAAACGACTCGAGAAATGTGTTTGTGAACTTCATAAATGCAAAAGTGAATCAGATGTGTGTGACTCAAACCTCCGTTCAAACTGTTTCTCTTCCCAACGGAATTGAAAAATAGTGAAAGGTGAAGGTGATGGGCAGGATTGATCCACAGGAAGAACCAAAAAGGAAACATTTGTCTGACTAAGAAATCATCCCGAGTTTACAGAGAACATTTTGTATGTGGAGCGACGACAAAACAAAATCCGTTTGTTAATGTAGAGGAGCAGAAGACAAACAGACTGAGCTGCACTTTCTTGTTCTTGTGGTTTTACAGAAACATCACGTCTTGGTCTTTGCAGTGGAAGGTGTTTCTTGGTGAACAGTTGGAGACTTTCACTTTGGTGTTGACTTTTTAAATTCGTAAACAAAGTTGAGCGACGGATCAGGATTTTGTTTTGTCATCGCTCCATCGTTAATTTACGAGGGAGTATAAGCGTCAGATAAAAAAATAAATAAAAATGCTGGCGCTACAAGAATAAAGTCGTAACATTTCAACATTAAAGTCGTAATTTTATGAGAATAAAGTGGTAGTTAAAATAAAGTGTTAATATCAGGAGAACATCGGCTGCTCAGAGTCTGAGTGGAGAATTTGGAGCATTTTGTAAAGGAGAAGAATCTGTGTTTCATTCGTTCATTCGACTGAACAAGGACTGAATCAGGACTAAACCAGGTCCAGAACCAAACCAGAAAGACCAGGACTGAGACCGGGACCAGACCAGGACTGAAAACGGTTTAGTCTTAATTTAGTCCTGGTTTAAGTCACGGAAATGGGAAATGGCGTTTCCGTGACTTTAAAATGCGATGCGGGACTGAACCAGGACTGAACCAGGACTGAACCAGGACTAAACCAGGACTAAACCAGGACTAAACCGTTTTCAGTCCTGGTCTGGTCCCGGTCTCAGTCCCAGTCTCAGTCCTGGTCCTGTTCCCAGTCTCAATCCTGGTCTCAGTTCTTGTCTGATCCCGGTCTCGGTCTTGGTCCCTGACTCAGTCCTTGTCTAAGTCCTGGTCTCAGTCCCGGTCTGGTCTCGGACCTCGTTTAGTCCTAGTTTAGTCCTGGTTCAGTCCTGGTTCAGTCCGGAGGCATAAATAATGAAGAAAATTGTTGTTCGTTTTCTTATTTTTGGTTTTATATTGAAAAACAAGTTTCTTCTTCTGCCGCATTTTTCACTTTGACTTTGATTTTATTACGACTTCATTCTCGTAAAATTATAACTTTATTCTCATAATATTACGACTTTAATGTTGAAATGTTATGACTTTATTCTCGTAGCACCAGCATGTTTTTTTTTTTTTTAATCTGACCCTTATATTTCGTCGTATTAATTAACGACGTCCGAATCCCAAAACTAAAACTATGACAATATCAGAACCAGAAACAAAAGTGAAATGGTTCAAAAGACTTGAAAAGATCGACTTTGACAACAGACTCGTCCCACTGGGAAAACAAACATGGAGGTTTGATGATCACTTTTTTGGAAAATCCTTCCCCGTATGAATTGTGCGATGACCTGAAGTCTGACATTCTTGATGCTTGTACAAGTGTCCGATGACTCCAGACGAGGATCATGTTTTTTCTTCCGTGTTACAGGACGAAAAGGCCGAAGGCTTCATCAACATTTCCAGCTACAACATTGAAAGCGCCGGCGAACACAAAAGAAAATAGTAAGTGCAGTTTTTATATGAAACGAAATGAAATCTGTGAGGACTGGACTGTGCTGGACTCCACGTTAAAGGAGACGTAGAGTTTAGTTTTTTTTTAAAGGTGCAGTGAAGTGTCCTGCTGTCTGAGACCTCCTTCCTCTGTTGGGGTTTTGGACAAATATAAGATTCAGAGCTTTTCCCAAACTCACTGTTTACACGACTGGAAAGACCATAACAAATCCAATTCAAACAAATGATTTATTTAGAACATTTATTCAAGTTTAAGACCCAAAGTTCTTCCTTCAGGTCTTAATCCTTCTCATGCCGAGTTTTTGTTTAGGTCCAAATTACTCGTGGCCAATTTGTTTTGTCTTTTTCTCAAGGGTAAATGAATTCATAAATCCTCTTTTTTTTTTAACTTTGCTTCACCTCAACATGTTATATCCAGTGTCGGGAAGGTGATTTTTCAAATGTAATCCCCTACAGATTACAGATTACACACAACAAAATGTAGTTTGTAACAGAATCCATTAAATGACTTAAAGTGAGTAATGTAATCTGATTACTTTGGATTACTGGATTTGCTGTAGAGAAGCAAAGACGAGGATGGTTTAGTCCTTGTTTAGCTCTAGTTTAGATCTAGTTTAGACCTGGTTTAGATCTGGTTTAGATCTAGTTTAGACCTGGTTTTAGTCCTGGTTTAGATAGACCTGGTTTTAGTCCTGGTTTTAGATCTGGTTTTAGTCCTGGTTTAGATCTGGTTTAGATCTAGTTTATCTGGTTTAGTTTCCGTCAATGAGTGAAATTACCTAAAAAAAAGAAAAAAAAAAAAAAAAAAGGGAGTTTAGCCCAAAATGTGAAAACAGGAAAATCCCACCGTTTAATCCATTTATTTCAACAAAGTAACTGTAATCCAATTACCACTCACTGAAACAGTAACTGTAACTGAATACAGTTACTCATCCTTTGTACTCTGATTACTCTGGTACATGTAATCTGTTACTCCTCGACACTGCACATATCAGTGCACAGACACATAACCTACAGTAAAACCAGTCGCTTAAACAAACACATCCACTGAGATCAGACGTGTCAAACTCAGGCCCTGGGGCCAAATTTGGCCACGATACAATTATATTTGGCCCGTGAGGTCATTTACCTTAAACTGTAAACAGCTCGTGTGACTTCAGTTCACAGAAGAACATGTGTCCTGTTCTGTTTTTGGTTCTTCACTGACAGTGTTTGGGAGTAACAGATTACATGTACCAGAGTAATCAGAGTACAAATTGATGTATTCAGTTACAGTTACTGTTTCAGTGAGTGATAATTAGATTACAGTTACTTTGTTGGAATAAATGGATTACAGGGTGGTATTTTTCTGTTTTCACATTTTGGACTAAACCAGGACTAAACCAGGACTAAACCAGGTCTAAACCAGGACTAAACCAGGACTAAACCAGGTCTAAACCAGGACTAAACCAGGACTAAACCAGGTCTAAACCAGGTCTAAACCAGGTCTAAACCAGGACTAAACCAGGTCTAAACCAGGTCTAAACCAGGTCTAAACACTATGACACTAACAGTAGTGTGAACATAATTTAAAGCAGCAGTGATCTTGTATAAAAATAATTTCTCTATCAATAATATTTTTAATATGTTTAAGGAAAGTCTGGGCTTTTTTATCGTCTTTAAACTGACAAACATCTTCTGTTCAGATCCTCGTTGTCACGTCTAGAGCAGAAGTAGGACCCAAAATGCAAAACTGCATTTCCAAAGTTGTTTAATGAACAAACACAAAACCCAAAACAGACACGAGTCACAATGACGATGAACCAACAGCGGCGAAGCAGAACACAGGGTTTATATCCAGACACATGAACGAGACACAGGTGAGACACATGAGGGCGGAGCAAACAGGTAATAAACAGGAAGTCAAAACACACACGGCTAGAAAAATACAAAATAAAACCAGGTAAGAACAGAAAATTAATTCAATGAAAATGAAAACCACGACACTCGTCTTTGCTACTTTACAGCAAAAACCTGTTGATGGAGAATTTGAAGAACAAACATGAATGTAGTTTTAAAAAACATGACAATATCAAGTCATCCAAAGTAATCAGATTACATTACTCACTTTAAGTAATTAATAGATTATGTTACAAACTACATTTTGGTGTGTGTAATCTGTAATCTGTAGGGGATTACATTTTAAAAGTAACCTTCCCAACACTGTTCACTGATCACCTGACAGTGCGACTCATGACAGGTGCTTTTACATTTGTCTGTAATAAACATCTGCATCTTTGTCTTTTGTTTTTCCTCAGTGTTTTCAAAGTTTGTCACTCACGGTTTCAGAACTTCTTCTTTGCCGCCGACCACGTCAGCGACATGAGCAAGTGAGTCCCACAGTCTCAGAACATGTTTTCAAATGCAATTTATGTAAACATGAACCTGAACACTGGATTTATACACATGTGTCGATGGTGTAATAACACAGTTGCCTCAGAAAACAAGAAAAAACACATTTTTTTTTGCAAACACATTGGTATTTTTATTGATATTGTACAGAGACGACAAAGGCAGACAGTGATTTTAGACCAGGTGAGTCAAACTCATTTTGGTCTGGGGGTCGTGTCCAACCGACTTTGATCCCAAAGGGGCCGGATCACAAAACTCATGTCATATAAACCCCAAAATAACAATAAGTTTCAAATATTTGTGCAGAGAAACACAAATCTATTACAGAAATCTTTTTTAATTGATGAACTCTTTCTTTTACTAAATATTATAATATTATGAACAACCTGAAACTTTAAGGAAAATACAATCTCAACACAATGTTTTAACTTTAACTTGTATGTAAATAGGAATAAGTTCATTTTTGTTGTAAAATCCTGCACTTGGCTCCACTTTTCTCATGTTGGACATTTTTGTGATGAGGGTGTCACGGTCAACAGTCAAAACGATCGTCCTTTAAGAGCGTTTGGAAAGAGACAAGTCTTCATTTGTGCTGCTCTGGTGGGAGGGGCCACGTACAGAGACGCTGGAGACGCGCTGCTGTGATAAACACCACAGAAAATTAACAAGATTTTAATAGAAAATATAATTAAAAATATTTTAGTAGAAAATCAGCCGAGGGCCAGATTAAAGGTCTTGGAGGGCCGGATCTGGCCCCCGGGCCTTATGTTTGACACCTGTGTTTTAGACTCTAACAGTGGTTCTGATCAGCTGAGGTCAAAGGTAATAAGACAGAGTGAAGCAGCAGTGAGAGGAGAGTAAAGTTAGACACAAAAATACGCCAAAAAAAAAAAAAAAAAGACTTATTATTATTAATTATGCTATTAGTCTAACGGGATATAAAAAAGAAAAATATTGTGTGTGTTTTTGCCTTTGACTCGATGGTAAATTAAAGTGAGATTATTAATTTGACTAAAAAAAATTTGTGACGACTAGAAACACGAGCCAAAGGTTCGTAGTAAAGTCCTGCACTTGGTCTAACCGACACTGGGGGAGTTCAGTCTGTCTCGGTTTATGTCTCCATCCAAACGCTTTGTCGTATATTTGTGACAGTCGGCGTTAAGAGGCTGTTCAACGTTGTTTAATGTTCTTATACTTTCATCCATCATCTGTTTTCTTCCGTGTATCCGGGGCATCAGTCTAAACCAGGAGTGTCCAAACTTTTTTAATCAAGGGCCACATTTCTAAACACAGAAGAAGCAGAGGGACGATCGAGGGCCACAGACTGGAGCTCAGTACAGGGAATAATTTAAATATGTGCAGGTTTAACACGTTAGAATGAGCCTCAGTCTTTATTCATGTAAGATCCTTAAAACCAAACACTAAATATTAAATATTTGCTTCATCAAGGAAGATTTTCAACAAACTTGCAGTGAAAAATTATATTTTAATTGATGCAAGGTCATTTGGGCCAATTCACCTGGAAGCCTGAGGGCCAAGAGGACCATAGTTTGGACATGACTGGTCTAAGCAGAGACTCCCAGACTTCCTTCACCCCAGACACTTCGGCTGCGTTCAGACTGCAGCCTGAAGTGACCCAAATCCGATTTTTTGGTCTCTATGTTCCTGTATCTGATCTTTTAATGTCAGTCTGAACCACACAGATCAGATTTTTTCAAATGTGACCCAGGACACTTGGATATGTGCTCCTGAAACTGATACATATCTGATCTTTTGACATGTGACTTCAGTCTGAACGGCCAAAGTGCATTCATCCACCTACACGTCATCAACAAGACACAAACGTCACTATTCTGCGCTGAAGCAGGCGGAAACCGGAACTGTAAAATCTCCAGGTGCTCGATGCTCGCGACCATATTTGGACAACTTCCGTAAACACAGAGACGCTCGCTGCGGTTGACCATGCGGTTGACGTCGTCGTGTCTCCAGTGTCACATGTGGGACACTTTCGGGCCGTTTACCGTTCACACTGGAGTCACAGACAAGTCGCATTTAATTGGAAATGTGAACGACCTCGAAAAAACATCGGATTTCACAAAAAAATCGGAATTGAGCATTAAGCCCTGCAGTCTGAACGTCGCCTTCTTCCTCCTACTCTTATACCACACCCACAAACTGAAATATCTCACCTGAATCTGAAAAGTCTTTTCACTCTGTAAATGTCTCAAATAGAAGTTATTTCTGTATTTTAAAAGAAGTTCGTTCTTACATTCTGCAGCTTTGTGACGTCCACAGAGCAGTGATGGAGAAAGTGATTTAACTGATGTTTACAGAATTAACTAGAGGTGTAACGACATCCAAGTGTCACGATACGATATCGTCACAGTCTGAACCTCACGATATCATGAGAAAGCTCACGATATGAGATGTAAAAATATCCAAATCTCTCTGTACAATATTTTCACGATAAAAAACTGTGAATCTGCTTCTTTTTCCTCTTAAAGCTTCGACATGACTTAACCCAAAGAACTAAGACTTAAAAGTGTTCGAACTGTTATTTCTTCTTGTCGTCTGCACTGAAATGGAGCAAAGGATCATGGTCTATGTAGTTCCCTCTGTGTTTTTTTTTAGCTCTTGCTGCACCAAAACTCTTCATTTAAACAGAGACTTATAATCTGATATATTGTGATGATCCATGAATTTTCACTGACTGTGGTTTAATTCTGATGAAAATACAGGCGATAAACGATGATGTTGATATTGAAACTAATCTTTATTTGTCTTAGTCATGTCTTTAATTTGAATGTTGTGCACCTGTTTGTCCTGTTTTCTGTTTTATCGTGAAGCTGCCAGTGGAACAACAGATAAACATGTTTTACGTGATGTGCACAGTCCAGTGACACAGTAACTCTGACGCAGGATTATCCACAATTGCTTCATCTATCAGATATTAAAGTAGTAATTATTGGGACAGGCCTAAGTGTCGCTCATTTCCCTGTTCCGTTTACTATAAATCCACAAATTTAAACATTTTAAATCTGGTCAGAATCATCAATTCTGCGTCTGAAATGAACTCGTGGACGACCCGTATGTTTTTAGTCTCGTCACCTCAGCGTTAGGAGCTCATGAGGAGTGTGAGAGTAAACGTCCTGTCTTATTAAAACATCGTTAATTACAAGCAGCATGCAAAGAATGATCTGCATTTCTACATCTTTATGCAAATGATTTGTGTGTGATTATAAAAGGGAAGCAGCTGTAAACTATAATTTGTGCAATTATCAGTTTCATCGAAAAACTGGTTTTGTAAACTGCATTTCAGCAAAGTTCACAGTGAGTGTTTATTTTGTTGTGTATTTATTTGTTGTATATTTATTTGTTCTATATTTATTTGTTCTATATTTATTTGTTCTCTATTTATTTGTTTATATTTATTTTGTTCTATATTTATTTTGTTCTATATTTATTTGTTCTATATTTATTTTTGTTCTATTTATCTTATTTTTTTCTATATTTATTTTGTTCTATATTTATTTTGTTCTATATTTATTTTTTCTATTATTTTTGTTTTCTATTTATTTTGTTTCTATTTTATTTATTCTATATTTATTTTTCTCTATTTATTTTGTTCTATATTTATTTGTATATTTATTTTGTTCTATATTTATTTTTCTATTATTTATTTGTTTGTCCTATATTTATTTTCTATATTATTTTTTTTCTATTTATTATTTTTTATATATTATTTTTTCTATATTTATTTGTTCTATATTTATTTTGTATATATTTATTTGTTCTATATTATTATTTTATTTATTTATTGTTCTCTATTTATTTTTCTATTATTGTTGTATATTTTGTTGTATATTTTTAGTTGTTATTTTGTTGTATATTATTAGTTGTATTAGTTTTATTATTATTTGTATATATTGATTAGTTGTATTGTTATATTGTTGATTATTGTTGTTGTATTTTGTTTGTTGTATATTGATTAGTTGTATATTGATTATTAGTTGTGTATTTGTTTGTTGTATATTGATTAGTTGTATATTGATTAGTTGTGTATTTGTTTTGTAGATGGATAAATTGTCTGATCACATCGATCCAGAAGCACAGGAAGCTGCACACAGGCCCCAGCAGTGAAGAAGGTAAAGAACAGAATTGTACTTTTACATTTAATATTTAACAATTTATAATCCTCATAGTTCAGTTACTTCATTCATTCATTCATTCATTCATTCGTTCGTTCGTTCGTTCGTTTGTCTCTAAAACCAAAATGAAAAAACAGATAATGATTCATTTTTTTCAGTTTTCAATTTTGTGTTTAAATGAAAAAAAAAAAAAAAAAAAAAAAAGGGTAACGGACTAAACCAGGACTGAACCAGGACTAAACTAGAACTAAACCAGGTCTAAACCAGTACTGAACCAGTACTAAACCAAGAGTAAACCAGTCTCAGTCCTGGTCTGGTCCTGGTCTTGGTATCAGTCTGGTCCTGGTTTAGTCCTGATTTAGTTCTGGTTTAGATCTGGTTTAGTCCTGTTTTAGTCCTAATTTAGACCTGGTTTAGACCTGGTTTAGTCCTGGTTTTAGTCCTAGTTTTACTGGTTTTAGTCCTGATTTTAGTTGTGGTTTAGACCTGGTCTAGACCTGGTTTTGACCTGGTTTTAGTCCTGATTTAGACCTGGTTTGGACCTGGTTTTAGTCCTGGTTTAGACCTGGTTTAGACCTGGTTTAGTCCTGGTTTAGACCTGGTTTAGCCCTGATTTTAGTCCTGGTTTAGTCCTGGTTTAGACCTGGTTTTAGACCTGGTTTAGTCCTGGTTTAGACCTGGTTTACTCCTGGTTTTAGTCCTGATTTAGACCTGGTTTAGTCCTGGTTTAGACCTGGTTTAGACCTGGTTTTAGTCCTGGTTTTAGTCCTGGTTTAGACCTGGTTTTAGTCCTGGTTTTAGTCCTGATTTAGACCTGATTTAGTCCTGGTTTAATGCTGATTTTAATTTGGAAAATCCACTTTAGGTCATGAAAAATCGTGGAAAAGTTTTTAGAAATTTTGTCTGTGAAAGAGACTGGAAACACAGTAATACTACAAACACAGAAATACTACTACTACTACTACTACTACTACTACTACTACTACTACTACTACTACTACAGCACCTCCCACACATTTACAATCATCGCAAATCTCATTATTTATGTTCAACCCACTCACTTTTACCAAACGCATCTGTGTGATTCTCATAAAACACTCCACGCTTCAAACATAAAACATAAAACATAAAACATAAAACGAGGCTTTTACTCGAGGTCACTGCACCGTTATTTCATCTCTCTGTTCCTATTATTGGACCGAGGTATTTCCTGTTGCTATGGCGACGCGGAGCCGAGCGAAGACACTGAACGGGGGTTTTGTTGTTTTTATTTTCGTCGTCGTTGTAAAAATAAAACACACTCGGATTAAAATGGACTCAGAGTTGTTTTTGTTTGTGCGTCCAGAGTGTTACAGCGAGACGGAGTCGGAGAGCGAGCGGTCGCCCTCGCCCGGACGAAGGAACAAGGTGAAACTTCAAACATCATACTTACTATTTTTATTATTTTTTGTTTACCATAATTTGTGTTTTGATCAAAATATTATTCTCATCTTCAGCCGAAAATGAATTACAACACTTATCCTCGAAAAAAGGACAAAACCCAAAAGCCGTTACCGAGTCCGACAGCAGGGGGCAGCAAAAACACAGGTATGAAACTCACTCCCTCTGGCTCACTTATTTATATATATATTTTTTTAGATATTTTTCATGTTGTATTTACAATTCTGAGTGTTTTAAATAAAAGAAGTAGATTTATCTGGTTGTATTAACTAAAATGTCCAAAAAAAAAGTCGTTTTGTGAAGATTTTAAATAGAATTGTTGATGTAAACGAACTCTAATTTGCTCAAAAACTGTCAAAACCGAACGTAAAAAACTATTCACTGTCACATACTGAGGACAAACACTGCAAAAACTAAAATCTTATTAAGTTACGATGACTTGAATTAAGAAGGTTTGATCAAGATTTGAGTAAATTTCACTTGAAAAGTAAAATGATCTGCCAGTGGAACAAGACTTTTTGTAGTTAAAATATGAAAATGCATCTTACTGAACTTGAAATAAGAAAAATAAAACATTTTTTGCTCGTAAAATGAGAAACAAAAATCAAATGTTGCTTGGATTTGGCCTCCTCCACACAGCATGGATTTAGTTCTGGTTTAGTTCTGATTAAATCCTGATCCAGTCCTTGTTTAGTCTTGGATTAGTTCTAATTTAGACCTGGTTTAGTCCTGGTTTTAGTCCAGATTTAGTCCTGGTTTAGACCTGCTTTAGTCCCGGCTTAGTTCTGGTTTAGACCTGGTTTAGACCTCTGGTTTAGTTTCCAGATTTAGTCCTGGTTTAGTTTTAGTTTTAGACCTGGTTTAGTTTAGTTTAGTCCTGGTGGTTTACTGGTTTAGTCCTGGTTTAGACCTGGTTTAGACCTGGTTTAGACCTGGTTTAGTCTGGTTTAGTCCCTGGTTTAGACCTGGTTTACCTGGTTTTCTGGTTTAGTTTACCTGGTTTAGTCCCTGGTTTAGTTCTGGTTTACCTGGTTTAGTCCTGGTTTAGTTCTGGTTTAGTTCTGGTTTACCTGGTTTTCCTGGTTTAGTCCTGGTTTAGACCTGGTTTTTCTGGTTTAGTCCTGGTTTAGTCCTGGTTTTAGTCCTGGTTTAGTCCTGGTTTAGACCTGGTTTATTTAGTCCTGGTTTAGTCCTGGTTTAGACCTGGTTTAGTCCTGGTTTAGTCCTGGTTTACCTGGTTTAGTCCTGGTTTAGTCCTGGTTTAGTCCTGGTTTAGTCCTGGTTTAGTTCTGGTTTAGTCCTGGTTTAGTCCTGATTTAGTCCTGGTTTACCTGGTTTAGTCCTGGAGTCTGGTTTAGTCCTGGTTTAGACCTGGTTTAGTCCTGGTTTAGACCTGGTTTAGTCCTGGTTTAGTCCTGATTTAGTCCTGGTTTAGTCCAGATTTAGTCCAGATTTAGACCTGGTTTAGGACTGATTTAGGAATCTTTGGTTGAATCTTTAACTGTGAAAAACCTAAAGTTCCTGATGTTCTGATGAGGCTGAACCTTCATCGTCAGCGACAGATTTTAGTTTTGTGATTTAAAGTGATTTGAAAGTGTTTGTGGTGATGTGATTTAAAGTGGTTTTAAAGTGTTTGTGGTGATGTGATTTAAAGTGGTTTTAAAGTGTTTGTGGTGATGTGATTTAAAGTGGTTTTAAAGTGTTTGTGGTGATGTGATTTAAAGTGGTTTGAAAGTGTTTGTGGTGATGTGATTTAAAGTGGTTTTAAAGTGTTTGTGGTGATGTGATTTAAAGTGGTTTTGAAAGTGTTTGTGGTGATGTGATTTAAAGTGGTTTGAAAGTGTTTGTGGTGATGTGATTTAAAGTGGTTTAAAGTGTTTGTGGTGATGTGATTTAAAGTGGTTTGAAAGTGTTTGTGGTGATGTGATTTAAAGTGGTTTTAAAGTGTTTGTGGTGATGTGATTTAAAGTGGTTTTAAAGTGTTTGTGGTGATGTGATTTAAAGTGGTTTTAAAGTGTTTGTGGTGATGTGATTTAAAGTGGTTTTAAAGTGTTTGTGGTGATGTGATTTGAAGTGGTTTGAAAGTGTTTGTGGTGATGTGATTTAAAGTGGTTTGAAAGTGTTTGTGGTGATGTGATTTAAAGTGGTTTAAAGTGTTTGTGGTTTTGTGATTTGAAGTGTTTTTTAAGTGTTTGTGGTGATGTGATTTAAAGTGGTTTAAAGTGTTTGTGTTTTGTGATTTAAAGTGTTTGAAAGTGTTGTGGTGATGTGATTTAAAGTGATTTTAAAGTGTTTGTGGTGATGTGATTTAAAGTGGTTTTAAAGTGTTTGTGGTGATGTGATTTGAAAGTGGTTTGAAAGTGTTTGTGGTGATGTGATTTAAAGTGGTTTTAAAGTGTTTGTGGTGATGTGATTTAAAGTGGTTTGAAAGTGTTTGTGGTGATGTGATTTAAAGTGGTTTGAAAGTGTTTGTGGGTGATGTGATTTAAAGTGGTTTGAAAGTGTTTGTGGTGATGTGATTTAAAGTGGTTTTAAAGTGTTTGTGGTGATTGTGATTTAAAGTGGTTTGAAAGTGTTTGTGGTGATGTGATTTAAAGTGGTTTTGAAAGTGTTTGTGGTGATGTGATTTAAAGTGGTTTGAAAAGTGTTTGTGGTGATGTGATTTAAAGTGGTTTTGAAAGTGTTTTGTGGTGATGTGATTTAAAGTGGTTTAAAGTGTTTGTGGTGATGTGATTTAAAGTGGTTTTAAAGTGTTTGTGGTGATGTGATTTAAAGTGGTTTTAAAGTGTTTGTGATTTTGTGATTTAAAGTGGTTTGAAAGTGTTTGTGGTGATGTGATTTAAAGTGTTTTAAAGTGTTTTGTGTGATGTGATTTAAAGTGGTTTTAAAGTGTTTGTGGTTTGTGATTTAAAGTGATTTTAAAGTGTTTGTGGTTTGTGATTTGAAAGTGGTTTAAAGTGTTTGTGGTGATGTGATTTAAAGTGGTTTGAAAGTGTTTGTGGTTTTGTGATTTAAAGTGATTTTAAAGTGTTTGTGGTTTTGTGATTTGAAGTGGTTTAAAGTGTTTGTGGTGATGTGATTTAAAGTGGTTTGAAAGTGTTTGTGGTTTTGTGATTTAAAGTGATTTTAAAGTGTTTGTGGTGATGTGATTTGAAGTGGTTTTAAAGTGTTTGTGGTGATGTGATTTAAAGTGGTTTTAAAGTGTTTGTGGTGATGTGATGTAAAGTGATTTTAAAGTGTTTGTGGTGATGTGATTTGAAGTGGTTTGAAAGTGTTTGTGGTGATGTGATTTAAAGTGATTTTAAAGTGTTTGTGGTTTTGTGATTTAAAGTGATTTTAAAGTGTTTGTGGTTTTGTGATTTGAAGTGGTTTAAAGTGTTTGTGGTGATGTGATTTAAAGTGGTTTGAAAGTGTTTGTGGTTTTGTGATTTAAAGTGATTTTAAAGTGTTTGTGGTGATGTGATTTGAAGTGGTTTTAAAGTGTTTGTGGTGATGTGATTTAAAGTGGTTTTAAAGTGTTTGTGGTTTTGTGATTTGAAAGTGATTTTAAAGTGTTTGTGGTTTTGTGATTTAAAGTGATTTTAAAGTGTTTGTGGTGAGCAGGTCCGGTGGATGAAATGGGTCAGATGTTGAACAACATAAAGGAGGGCGGCGTGTCTCTGATGGGGCAGGATCAGCCCTTCACCCACGACCACTTCAGGAGGTCCTTCATCAAACGCTGCAAGAACCCGGTGATCAACGAGAAGGTCCACACGCTCCGGACGCTGCACAGCACGCTCAAGGTAAACAACAACACAACAACAACCGCCGCCACAAGCAAACGTCACGCGGTAAAATCCAAATCATTTATATAAAACATTTCAATAAATTTAAACTGAATCCCATTTCATTTTTTAAACTATTATTATTTTGCCCAGCCCAGTCTGACTTGATATTACATTTTATTACCTCACTGCTCCTGTCAGGTTTTTATTTTTATTTGTTTATTTATTTATTTGTTTATTTATTTGTTTATTTTTGGCCTGAAATTTTGAAGAGAATTATTCAAATTGTAAACTGACTGCCCCTTGAACTGTATTTTTCGGGCTATAAGGGACGGAACTAGAGTCCAAGTCCTAGTCCAAGATTAGTCCTGGTTTAGACCTGGTTTAGTCCTGGTTTAGTCCTGGTTTAGACCTGGTTTAGTCCTGGTTTATTCTCAGTTTAGTCCTGGTTCAGTCCTGGTTAGTTTAGTCCTGGTTTAGTCCTGGTTAGTTTAGTCCTGGTTTATCCTCGGTTTAGTCCTGTTCAGTCTGTTTAGTCTGGTTTAGTCCTGGTTCTGTCCTGGTTTAGTCCTCGGTTTAGTCCTGGTTTTATCTCAGTTTAGTCCTGGTTTAGTTCTGGTTTAGTCTCAGTTTAGTCTCAGTTTAGTCCTGGTTTAGTCCTGGTTTAGTCCTGGTTCAGTCCTTCAGTCCTGGTTTAGTCCTGGTTAGTCCTGGTTTAGTCCTGGTTTAGTCCTGGTTAGTCCTGGTTCAGTCCTGGTTAGTCTCGGTTTAGTCCTGGTTTAGTCTCAGTTTGTTCAGTTTAGTCCTGTTTAGTTCTGGTTTAGTCCTGGTTTAGTCCTGTTTAGTCTTTAGTCCTGGTTAGTCCTGGTTAGTCCTGGTTTAGTCCTGGTTCAGTCCTGGTTTCAGTCCTGGTTTAGTCCTGGTTCAGTCCTGGTTTAGTCCTGGTTTAGTCCTGGTTCAGTCTGTTTAGTCTGGTTAGTCCTGGTTTAGTCCTTGTTCAGTCCTGGTTTAGTCCTGTTCAGTCCTGTTTAGTCCTGGTTTAGTCCTGGTTAGTCCTGGTTTAGTCCTGTTTGTTAGTCCTTTCAGTCCTGTTTAGTCCTGTTAGTCCTGGTTCAGTCCTGGTTCAGTCCTGGTTTAGTCCGGTTTAGTCCTGGTTTAGTCTCAGTTTAGTAGTTTTCCTGGTTTAGTCCTGGTTTAGTCCTGGTTTAGTCCTGGTTCAGTCCTGGTTTAGTCCTGGTTTAGTCCTGGTTTAGTCCTGGTTTCAGTCCTGGTTTAGTCCTGGTTTAGTCCTTAGTCCTGGTTTAGTTTAGTCCTGGTTCAGTCCTGGTTCAGTCTGGTTTAGTCCTGGTTCAGTCCTGGTTCAGTCCTGGTTTAGTCCTGGTTCAGTCCTGGTTTAGTCCTGGTTTAGTCCTGGTTCAGTCCTGGTTCAGTCCTGGTTTAGTCCTGGTTCATCCTGGTTTAGTCCTGGTTCAGTCCTGGTTTAGTCCTGGTTCAGTCCTGGTTCAGTCCTGGTTCAGTCCTGGTTTAGTCCTGGTTTAGTCCTGGTTTAGTCCTGGTTTAGTCCATATACGACGCAAAACTTCTTCATCTTCACAGTTATTTTGTTGAGATTATCTTAAAGTTCTGTAATAGTCGTGTAATTAAATTTTAATTTTAATTTTAATTTTTTTAAATTTCAGGCTAAAGAGGCCGAACTCCTGCAGATCAACAAACTCCTGGACGAGTCGGACTTGAGCGCGGCCAAGTATCGCACGTGGAGGCAGCACAACGAGGAGCTGCTCCACGACATCGAGAAGCTGGCGTCCCGGAGACCAAACTCGGACGACGCCGCGGAGACGGTCGCCGCGGCAACGACGGAGGAAGAAGAGGAAGCGGAGAAACGGACGGAAGGGGAGGAGACGGCGGCGGCGTCCGACGGGGACGGGATGAACGCGAGGCACGAGGAGGAGCGGGGAGCGTTCCGGCTGATGCTCTGCGACGGGGAGCAGCTCGTGGACGCGGAGCCGGAGGAGGAGGAGGCGGCGGCGGCGACGCTCGAGCCGGGTCACGACGGATCTTCGCCCGTTTCCGCGGAGACGAGTCCCCAGTTTGAACTGAACCTGGGCTCGCTTCAGGAGTCCATCAACCAGGAGCTGAGCGAGATGTCCGAGACGGGAGAGACGGAGCATTACTTTTACATCTGAGCGTGAAGACGGACGGACTTTAACGGAAAGAGAAAAGTGCCTGGATTAAAGTTTAAATATTTCTGTTTTTACTGGACCTAGAAAAACCACGACAAACTGTGAGCGCAAATGAACAAGAGTGAAAGGATCTGTGGAGTGATTCACCCTAAACCGTGTGTCGTTGGTTCATTTGTTTTTCAAAATAAAACCAAAAATAAGAAAATGAAAAAAAAAATAACAAAGATTTTCTTCATTATTTGTTTACAAAACCAAAATGAAAAAAAAAGATCATGATTTGTTTTTTTCTGTTTTTTATTTTGGGTTTGAATGAAAAATGGAAAAAATGCATAATGGACTGAACCAGGACTAAACCAGGACTAAACCAGGACTAAACCAGGTCTAAACCAGGACTGAACCAGGACTAAACCAGGTCTAAAGGACTGAACCAGGACTGAACCAGGACTAAACCAGGTCTAAACCAGGACTAAACCAGGACTAAACCAGGACTGAACTGAGGACTGAATCAGGACTAAACCAAGACTAAACCAAGAATAACCAGGTCTAAACTAGGTCGAAACCAGGTCGAAACCAGGACTGAACCAGGACTAAACCAGGTCTAAACCAGGACTGAACCGAGGACTGAACCGAGGACTGAATCAGGTCTAAACCAGGACTAAACCAGGACTAAACGAGTCTACCGATGTAGACTGTAGGGTGATCAGGACCAGACCAGGACCAGGACCAGGACTGAGACTGGGACTGAGACCGAGACCAGATCAGGACTGAACCAAGACTGAACCAGGACTGATCCCAAGACTAAAACAGGACTACACCAGGACTAAACCGGTCAATCCCAGTCTCAGTCCTGGTCTCAGTCTTGGTCTCAGTCCCGGTCTGGTCCCGATCTCAGTCCTGGTCTGGTCCCGACCTCAGTCCTGGTCTGGTTCCGGTCTCAGTCCCAGTCTGAGTCCTAGTCTCAGTCCCGGGCTCAGTCCCAGTCTGAACCCAGTCTCAATCCTGGTTTGGTCCCAGTCTCAAGTCCCAGTCTGGTCTTGGTCGGGTCCAGGTCTCATTCCCGGTCTGGTCCTGTCTCAGTCTCAGTCTCAATCCTGGTCCTGGTCCCGGTCTCAGTTCTGGTCTGGTCCTGGTTTCAGACCTGATCACCCAGCAGTCCACATGAGCGCAACTCCAGGCCCGTCCTGGCACTTAGTCCTGGTTTAGTCCTGTTTTAGTCCTATTTTAATCCTGGTTCAGTCCTGGTTCAGTCCTGGTTCAGTTCTGGTTCAGTCCTGGTTTAGTCCATTATGAGATTTTTCCATTTTTCATTTAAACACAAAATCAAAAACTGAAAAAACAAATCATTGTCTGTTTTTTTTTTTTTCATTTGGTTTTGGAGACAAATCATGAAGAAAATCATTGTTTTTTTCATTTTCTTATTTTTGGTTTTATTTTGAAAAACAAATGATCGAATGACACACAGATTGACCTCGACGACATGAATCAAACACCAACTGTGTTTAAGTTTAAAGTTCGTACTCGTCCCTCTGGGGTTTGTTCTTTGAGCTTTAAAATCAACCATCACGAAAAAAGATAAAAATAAAAAACATTTATATCGACGATGAAACGACGACAACGACAACAAACTGATATTTTAAACATTTTGGGGATTTGCCCAGTGATGTATAATGTTTTAATATTTTAACAAATTATATTTTTTAAGAAATGTGCTTAAGCGTTTCTGTAAAGTTTATAAAAGTCTAGTTCAGTGTTTCCCAGAGTCAAACTTTCAAAAACCTTCATCCCAAGTCAATAAACATATATTTGTAAATCACAAAATAAAAGTGGATTATTGAACATGAATGAAGATTTTTTCTTGTTGACTGACTGATCTGCTGATCCAGAATGACGATAAAATCACAGATCAGAACTGTAGTTTGCAGATCGTGAACCTGATTCATCAGCCGGTTTCACTTCGTACAAACCGTGTGACCTGCAGCATTAGGATTCGTTCGCTCGACAGGAGGCGGGGACTTTTTTAATTTAACCAATCGCTGCTGTTTGGTCCTGACGTCTGAAATGCTCCAAATCTGGAATCAGAAAACACTAGACGATTTGCAAAAACCCTGGCGAAGAGTCAGACATTCTGTGTTGGCGACGATTCCCGACATCGAGGATTTAAAGCCGCAACAAAGAGAATGTTTGGTGAATTTTATCAACCAGAAAGACGTCTCTGGGTTTGGTCAAGTGTTAACGGAGGAAACAGGGGCAGATTTTTGACATTCAAATGTCTCTTATTCAGAAACTAGAGGAACTATTGAAATAAGTAAAGTATCAGAATGTAGGAAAGAGTTACACTCCAACAGGGTCAAGTTAAACCTGTGAGATTCTTTCAAGTTCAAGACAAAAAATTTAAAAAACTCATGTTGGTAACGGAGGGAATGAAATATGCAGCACTTTTTGGTCAATAAATCCAAACAGTGATAACTCTTGGTTCTCACTTCCATATCCTTAACAAACTGGTTTGAATATTTGCTTCATATAGTTTTCTACCATATGGTACAAGATTAGGTTGAAAAACCTCTGACTTTTTGACTCATGAGATTTTTTATTAAGAAAGTTCATGGTAACGGAGGGAAAAGTAACGGAGGGAAAATTGTACAAACAAGTAGAAGGTGCAGGATTTTACATCATTTGTCACTTTTTTCTTCCAAATACTTTAATATTACTTCAAAATGAAAGGAAAATATTTCTATAAAATATGTCAAATTTTTATCATTTTAAATACTTTTTTTTTTTTTAAATCCTGTCCCTTCATCAACAGTTCAAAGATGGAATAACACAAGATATGATGAAATACAAACATTTATTTACATGATTTTTGGGTCTTTGAAATTTGGGAAATAATTTTTGTTCCATGTTTCATTCATGGTCTGTTTAAAACGGATGGAACTTTAGAACCAAAAATGGAACAGAAAAAAGGTCAACAGTTTGATAAACTCGAGTACATATGTATCTGTTCAATACTGTTTTATATCAGATGAATTAACTTGAAGTTTTGGCCTTGTTGTTTACTTCTGCTGGACCGGGTCCAGTTGTTCTTCTTCCTACGGGATTTGGAGCATTACCTTCGTCTTCATCAAACAGCAGTGATTGGTTAAATAAAAAAGTACCTGCCTACTGTCGAGCGAATGGATCCTAATCCTAATCGAAATACAGAAATGTGCCCACGGGACGATAAACCGGGACGAGGGGCTTTTTTACTCTCACACACCTGGATTCTGTCCTGAGGAAGTGGGACTGCAGGTGGCGCTGTCGTCCTGCCTCCACCGAGACGAAGACTGAGACAAACAAAACCTGTTTACATCAACTGAGAGACACGACACAGAAACATCACGAGACTCTGAGGAAGAGCAGTCGAAACTGTCAGGTATGAAAACAAACTCTTGGTCTGAAAAAGGAACTTAATAACATATGTACCTAGTATAATTAGTTTTTACACTTGTCAAAGTAAAGTTCCATGAGAAATTTCATGAAATTCTCTTGATGTTACAGGGTCCACCAAGCCTCTGCAGAAGCCTTAAATCTGAGCTGAAAAATCATTTTTTCTTTAATAAAAATCCTTCTTCTTTCTGTAAATTTGTGTTTCCCAAACCCTGAGTCGTACCTGTCGTTGAGACGCTCTGCTGACGTCACACAGGTGGAAACCGACTGATGAATCCCTAAACTCAACCGTAAAAGTGCTCAAAAATCTTTCTAAGCAGAGGTCGGGCAAGTCTTTTTTCTTTTGTTCACAGGTTTTTGACAGTTTTATTAAGACAGACGACACTTGATGTTTTATTTTGACAAATCTTCAAAACAAATCTTCCATTTCATTAGGGCTGGATATCATTAAGAAGTTGCAGATACGATTCATATCTCGATACATAAACTACGATACATATCTTGATACAGTGAGTTTACGATTCGATATGATTCAATACGATATATTTCAGATATATATGTTCAATTAAAATAAAGGCTAAATCACGGCTGTGACGCTGAAAGTCTTTTTTAAACCACTTCTTGTGCAACGATAATATGAAACAGACCAATTTTAATCTTCAAAACTGTGAAAATGTCAAATGTGTCGCATAAACGAGTTTTCTTCCTCTAAACCAGGGGTGTCCAAACGTTTTTAATCAAGGGCCACAAATCTAAACCCAGATAAAGCAGAGGGTCGATCGAGGCCGTCGACTGGTGCTCAGTACAGTGAATAATTAAATATGTGCAGGTTTAACGCGTTAGAATGAGACATCAGACTTTTTTTCATTCACACTAAATATTATATATTAGCTTTATCAATGTAGATTTTCTAAAAACTTGCGATAAAAAGTAAAGTTTTCATTGATGCAAGGTAATTTGGGCCAATTCTCCTGAAAGCCTGAGGGCCAAGAAAACTTTGTCCGAGGGCCGCATTTGGCCCACGGGTCGTAGTTTGGACATGCCTGTTCTAAAGTTTAGAGCCTGTGGTCTGAAAAATCTGTTTTTCTTTAATAACATCCTTATATTTTCTGGAAACTTGAGTCGTACCTGTCGTTGAGACGCTCAGGTGACGTCACACAGGTGGAAACCGACTGATGAATCCCTAAACTCAACCGTAAAAGTGCTCAAAAATCTTTCTAAGCAGAGGTCGGGCAAGTCTTTTTTCTTTTGTTCACAGGTTTTTGACAGTTTTATTAAGACAGACGACACTTGTTGTTCTATTCTGACAAATCTTCAAAACAAATCTTCCATTTCATGTTGTGGAACAGACCTCCAGGCCGCTCTCCCCACACTCTCCACAAACCTGTTGACTCTTTTGTAAATTTGCATTCAGCGTCTGTCCTGTTTTTTGCTTCTCGGTATCGTCCCGTACGATCATTTCCTCTTAACCCTTCAACTCTGAGGTGAAGAATTTCGCCCGAGGACACAACGGCAGCGCAATTAGAGCCTGATTGCCGTCGTCAAATGCGTTTACCTTTTACCTGGTGAGTTTGGATTGGCTCTGCAACAACCGCCTATTAGTTTAATCACACAGAGTGATTCTTTCAACAACCCCTTCCGTGAAATGAGGCTTTACCAGTTTAACTCGCCGCAGCAATAAAAACTATTTGGTTTAATTGCAGCCACATAACGAGATTTTTTCACACTGTGTCACATTTGGTTCACTTCTTGCAAACTTTTCTGCGAAGTGTCGCTCCTTCAAAACCCCCGTCGCCCAGTCAGAAGCTGCAGAAGTGCCCCGGGCTTTAGGCTGCAGAAATTCAACTTGTACCCAGTTTTAAAATGTGACAAAACCAAATAAAATAAAATCTGTGGGATATTTGCTCAATTCCACCAAATCTCTTAAATTCCATCCAACAAATATCTGGCAGAAAAAAATCAGTTTTTCTCAAATAACTTAAAAAATAATCCATTTAGTGCTCTGGTGTCAGTGAAAGTTGAATATAAATGTTGCTGTTGCATCTTTTGGTACAAATTTTAGATCTCTATCTTCATAACTTTCTAAGATATGATCATTTTGTCAAGAATTTGAGTGTTTTTTGAGTGTTTGATGATCCAAAATCCACAAAGTCCAAAGATGAAACGAGAGACATAAAGTTATTATTATTATTTGTTTGTAAAGTGTCTTTGAGTGTCCAAAAAAGAACTATATATGATTTATTATTATTATCATCATTATTATTAACATTTGTTCTTTCTGTCGTGATCATAAACTGTATAAAAAAGTGGAGGAAGTGAGTGTGACGTCACCAGAGCGTCTCAGTCACAGGCACGACTCAGAGTTTGGGAAACACAAGTTTACAGAAAGAATAAGGATGTGATTAAAGAAAAAAAAAAGATTTTTCTGCTCAGATTTAAGACCACAGACACTAAACTTCAGAGGTTTGTTAGACCCTGTAGACATCAAGAAGAATTTCATGAAATTTTTCACGAAACTTTACTTTGGCAATCGTAAAAAAAAAAAATTGATACTAGGTACAGATTGATTTTCACATTTTTTTCAAAAACTTGGACAAATGATGCTCCCTAATGGACCTGCTCTGTGATGAATCCAGTTTGCAAATAAAGACAGAGCTGAGGTGATGCAGATGTGTTTGCAAAGTCCAGATCTGGAAGGAGCAGGGTCAATGTCAGAGTCCACGTCAAAGAGACTAGAGTGGAAATCTAACGAAGACTCAGGACTAGATTAAAAAATATTATCATTGGTAAATCACATCTTTCCGTCTCATTAATCTCTAATAACAAACAGTACATATTTAGTTCTCTTGCCTTCATTTTACTAATAATAATGCTGTTTGTTTCTGTTTCTTTGACTCTTGTGACTAGAGGAATATTTGTGTCCTCATTTGTCCCTTTAGTTAATATAGTAATTAATTCATACACACCACAACAATTTATGAAAGTCCCTCAGGATCTTCAAAATTCTACAAATAATGGCAAAATTCATCCCCTTGTCTAAGCACCTTTGGGACACTGTCAGCAGAAAATTAAAGTGTCACTGTGCGGCTCACTGAAGAGCAGCTCTGGACCAGTTCTGGACCAGTTCTGGACCCACAGCACGAGGCATGTGCGGTGTCGGGTAAGAAAGACGTGTGAGCTAAAAGATCGGTCCACTTACGCGCTCACATTTATCGACTCACACTCGTACGTAACGATCTGTTCCGAGCTCCACGTGAAGCCGCGCACAGATTTACCACCTGTGCAGGGCGCCGCCATCGTCCTCATCGTCGCCATCGTCCAATCAGAGTCTCAAAAGAAGCCTGGACTTTCTTGATCCTGCGCACGGCCGTTCGCAGATTCACCCGGGGCTGCTCCGTGAACGAGAGCGTAAAAGCTTCTCCAACCTGTGTATGAAAACGCCACACCAACGACAACGTGATTTTAATTTAGTTTTTTCTTTTTTCTTTCTGTTTTATTTAATTTCACACCGTCCTCTGAGCCTGGAGCAATCAGACGCCTCTTTATGGAACCCAGAGGTCAGAGCAAAGAGGTGATCGCCGCCCGAGGCTCCTGGACCTTTGGGCGGTTTGTCTCTGCTCTGACCTGACCTGGTCTAAGTGCACTTGTCACGGGTGTTCAGAGCCGCTCTACAGGAAAAACACGACATCTGGATTTACAGCGTTAAAAAAAAAACTAAACTGGATGAAAGTTCAGCTGCTCTTTGTGCAAGTTCTGCAGTTAGGGACAAAACATTTGGCACTTACAAAATAAAAGTCTCAGCCTCTTGAGTTGTACCAGTGACAGAAGCAGCTTTATTGTTACAGATTCTGACAACGACAGATCATTAAACATTTATTTTTCACTGACAAAAGCAAAATACATTCATTTACGACGCTGCTCAAGCTCACGGAAAACGAACAGAGACGGACAGAGCTACAGTCAGGAACGTGTTTCTCTTTCTCGTTTCTGTGCATGTTGGTTTGAGATCTGGAAATAAGCACTTTCTTTTTATTAACTCCTTTGGAATTAAACTAACCGAGTATCGAGTTGATAACATGACCAGGCAGAGCTACGATTGGTCTAAATTTGAGCTGTTGCACTCGGTGACCTGTGTGAAACTACTCAGCTCCTGGACTGTGACAAACTCCCATGAACCACTGAGCACGAAGGTGAAAGACTAGAACATCTCACTGTGTCGACGCTGCAGCTTATTATTTGGAATCATTTATTTGTGTTTAGTCTGGGTCTGTGTGTGGATCAGGGGTCCCCAACCTCCTGGGCCGTGGTCTTGTGGTACTGGGCTGTGAAAGCGAGAGCCGTCCCTCACATACCCCAAGTGGATCGTTCCCCCCTCCTTTACTCCCGAGCGGAACATCACCCCCCCGCATACGCCAGGGGAACTGTCCCTCCTCCTGTAAGTCACATGGAACGTCCCTCCTCCCGTAGGTAGAGCGAAATGCCCCCTACTCATCCACCCCCCGTACGCTTTGTGGATCATCCCTCTTCCCGTACGTCGTGAGGAACTTCCACCGCTCCCGTACGCTGCGCTGAATGTTCCTCTTCCCTTAGGTTGCGTGGAACGTCCCTTCTGCTGTTGGTCGAGCAGAACGTTCCCCCCTCGCGTGGGGACCGTCCCTCCTCCCGTATGACGTCACACGGAATATCCCCTCCTCTCGTATGACGCGCAGAACATCCCTCTTCCTGTACTTTGCGCGGACCATTCCTCCTCCCGTACGTCGCGTGGACTGTCCCTCCTCCCGTATGTCGAGCGGAACGTCCCTCCTCCCGTATGTCGCATGGAACGTCCCTCCTCCGTACATGTCGCCGGGAACATCCCTCGCTCCCGTTGATCGCGTGGAACGTCCCTCCCTCCCGTACGTCGAGCAGATCGTACCCCCCTCATATACGTTTGCGCAGACCGTCCCTCCTCCTGTAGGTCGCGCGAAATGTCCCTCCTCCCCTATGTCGAGGGGACCCTCCTTCCTCCCGTACGTTGCGTGGGCTTCTTCTCTAAACCAGAACTAAACCAGGTCTAAACCAGGACTAAAAACAGGTCTAAAAACAGGTCTAAAACAGGACTAAAATAAGATTTAGCCAGGACTTAACCACTGCGAATGGTGCCTCCTCCCATACACCCCCAATCTCCTCCGGTCCATGAAATATTGTCGGATATAAAACCGGTCTGTGGCACAAAAAAGGTTGGGGACCCCTGGTGTAAATCTTCACAACATCAGAGTTAAACCCTCTCTAGCAGCTGACTTCGTAGACGTCCATGTTGGCCTTGTTGCTGCTCTCGGGGCAGGTGCAGGCGGGCAGCTCGGGGCAGGCGGGGCACGTGGGGCATTTGGGCCGTTTCAAACTGAACATGAGCGCCACCCCGCCGAGCATTTGTAAGCAGGAGCCCAGCCACCCGAAGTAGAGCGACCCGGCGGGGCGCAGGTGCAGCTGGGTGTGCCGGTGGGAGCTGTGGTCGTGCAGTCCCAGGCGGCTCAGGTTGTGGGTGTAGACGGACAGCGCGGTCAGGCTCAGCAGACTGGCAAAGACCATCAGCAGACCTCCCGTGGCAGCGACGCCTCTGAGCGGTAAGTCCTTCCAACAGCGGACGCCGATGCACGCTAAAACGATGCCCGTCCCGCACAAGAACAGAGAAGTGAGCGTCAAACCTTGCGCCAGTCGGACCCGCGGATCCTTCTGGTAAGCCCCCGACACCGGCCAACAGTGTTTAAGCTCCGGAGGCGCCATCTGCAGACAGCTCTCCCACAAACCATCCGAGCGGACCAAGAGCAGAGCCTCCACCGCGCCAGGACGGACCCCGAGTCGGTGAGGCCTCAGTCCGGCCCGGAGCACGGAGTCGGGTCCGGACACGGCGAGACGGGCCTGTCCCTCTCGCCACTGCGGGGTGATGGCCGCGGTGAAGACCAGGACGAGACCTAACGGGGCAAATACGATGCCCATTACCATAGAGGCCGGGGTCTGCATCCAGGCGGTGGTGGTGGTTCTTCTCAAAACTCTGAAAAAGAAAAAGCACAAAGTTGTTAAAAGGATTGTTGATTATGTGGTTGGTTGTATGTTTATGTTCTTATTATTGCAATAAAAAGTCTAAATCACGAGTGTCAAACTCATTTTGTTCTGGGGGTCGTGTCCAACCGACTTTGATCCTAAATGTGTCCGGATCAGTAAACTCATGTCATATAAACCCCAAAAATAACAATAAGTTCAAATATTTGTGCAGAGAAACACAAATCTATTACAGAAATCTTTTTTTTAATTGATGAACTCTTTCTTTTACAAAATATTATAATATTATGAACAACCTGAAACTTTAAAATCCTGCACTCGGCTCCACTTTTCTCATGTTGGACATTTTTCTGATGAGGGTGTCACGGTCAACAGTCAAAACGATCGTCCTTTAAGAGCGTTTGGAAAGAGACAAGTCTTCATACGTACAGAGACGCTGGAGACGCTGCTGTGATAAACACCACAGAAAATTAACAATAAATTCAAATATTTTAGTAGAAAATCAGCCGAGGGCCAGATTAAAGGTCTTGGAGGGCCGGATCCAGCCCCCGGGCCGTATGTTTGACACCCCTGGTTTAAGTCCTACTACACAAAAACTGATAATTTGCCCCGATATTTCTCAAAAGGTCATTTAATTTGGTCAACAGAACAAAGGTTTTGGACTGAATACGTTTCACTTCTCACCTAAGTCTACGTTCAGGCTCCAGGGCTTAATGCTCAATTCAAATTTCACATTTTCAGTTTCACATTTCCAATGAAATGCGACTTGTATGTGATCTCCAGTGTGAACTTTAAATGCTCCAAAAGCGTCCCACATGAGCATTGGAGGGTTGGGGTTAAGGTTCGCCTAAACGCTGGGCTCGTCTCCCAAAATCTGGTCCGGTTCTTGGTTAAATGGACGGATCACACGTCCACAGCCGTTTCGTTTGTTTGAATCTTTAGCCTCTTTGTGTTTGGCTCGAAGGCTCTTTATTTTTCGTTGACGTTGGAGCCAGGACCTCTACGTCTTAAAGGTTGTATGGAGGATTTTTTTTATTTGTTTCTAATTGTCAATGACAGTTTAAAATACCATTACAGAGACGCAGCAGCCTTGTAATTATGATGACCAAAAAAAAAGAAAGAAAATTGATCAACTAGGCCAGATAAACATCAGCCAATAGAAAACGAGGCTGCCTCATTTTCTATTGGCTGTCAGGTTGTCAATCAAACTCCCTACGTTTCTAAGGTAACTATGCAGCAGTTCTTAGAGGCTTTTTCTAATTGTGGCTCTCGCAGTTCGCATAAAGTTTGTTGCGATGTTGGACGAGAATCCAGGACCAGTTCGCCGCAAAAGAAAGTCGGTTTTTGAGGTCGCGGAAAGAAGAAGAGAAGGAGAAAAGGAGCGAAGACAAACTGAGGTGATTCTTGGAGATTCCTTCCAGCGACGGTGCGACTGAAGCGGACGAAGGGTCTAAAAACTGAGGTGTCGGTCTCTAAATTATTTCTAGAGGGACTTGTGGAGGAGGAAGGTGGTGTCACACATGCACTACATTTGAAAAAGGACTGTCGCTGGATTTCTCTTTCCTTAAAAAAATCCTCCATACAACCTTTAAGGCTTAAGCTGTAGAGTTAGTTTCTCTATACAGTACAGAGAAACTGAAGCACATAAATAGCAATCAGTCAGTGCACTTAAGAATAATGTGCAGGTGATCTGTACGGAGTTTGGGGAGATGGTCCAGTCCTAGGTCGTGATGGGCCCTGAAAGTTCTGTGGGCCCCGGGGCATCACACCATCTGCACAGCCGAATGCTGCGCGTTGGGGCCTGGGTCACATTTGAAACAATCTGATCTGTGTGGTTCAGACTTTAAAAGATCAGATACAGGAGCACAGGGGCCGAAAAATTGGATCTGAAGTTTGGAAGTAACTCCACTGAAACTGTTCGCAGTAAAGAGTCAGAATATCTGTAAAAAATAAAAATAAAAAGACTCTCTGCACCACATTTTCCAGAATAATAACACAATTTGACTTGTATCTAAACTGATGTCAGAGTTGTTTTACTCCAGACAGGTGTGTTTGATTTGTTTTGTTTGTGCAGATTCTTTATTTTATTTATTTAACGAGACGGGGACAGTGCATAATATGAATTAACCTGAACAGGAGAGATGTTCTGTACCAGGTTTTGGCGTTAGTGTTTATTTCCGCCTCTCGTCTCTACAGTTTTTGTCTGTGGTCTGCGTTTTGCTCTCACATTTAAAACACTACAAAACTCTGTATTGTGTTGTGGCCTTTAGAGGCAAATGGACAAAGACCGTGTGAGTGAATCAGACCAAATCTAGTGAATACAGAAGAATAAAATAACTGTAGTTGTGGGTTTTGTTATTGTGGTCGCTACAACAAAGAAGCCATTCAGACCAGACCTGAGCCTGGTGCAGCTCCAGGGACAAACTCTGACTTTCATCAGCCCGTTTAAACTCACTTGGAATTACAAAATAAATATATTTTTATCATTTTACCGCATGCATGAACTAAAGCTGCATTGTTTTTATTTTAGACGTGTTTTTTTTATTAAATTTTTTTGTCAGGCAGCCTCACTTTTTCATTGCTTCGTCAAAATGTGTGAAAAATCCCTCGGTCGTTCAGGTAGAATCCACGGCAAAAGAGAGAAATCAGTTTGTCGACTGGAGAAAAATTTAGTTTGGTTGAATAAATTTCGCAGCTCATCCAGTCTGCTCCTTCACTTCTTCTTCAGAACTGAACTAAACTAAATTTTTCTCCAGTCGACAAACTGATCAAAACAATAAAACAATGAGATCTACTGCTTTTTTTTTTTTTTTTTTTTTTAATAAAGAAATACAATTCAGAACTGAGTTAACGCTTTTGTACGGAAGCCGAGAGGGTCACAACAAACGCAGACGCCGCAACAAATACAAAGGCAACAACACGACAAAAAAGCCACAACACATTAAAAAGCCACAACACACCAAAAAAAAAAGCCACAACACACAAAAAAAGCCACAACACACAAAAAAGCCACAACACAAAAAAAAAGCCACAACAGAAGTGACCGCGGGACTCTATTTTAATGCAAACGCCGCAACACAAACGCAAATGCCACAACACATTAAAAAGCCACAACAGAAGTGACCGTGGGACTCTATTTTCCGACGGACCGATCAAGCGGCAAGTGAAGAAGAAGAACTACAACGTGAAAAGTAAAGGAACGGAGAAGTTGGAAACGTAAGTAAAAGTAATTTATTGTTTTGTCATTATTCGTTTCACGTTTGATGTGTTGTGGCTTTTTAATGTGTTGTGGCTTTTTAATGTGTTGTGGCATTTTAATGTGTTGTGGCATTTGCGTTTGTGTTGCGGTGTTTGCATTAAAATAGAGTCCCGCGGTCATTTCTGTTGTGGCTTTTTTTGGTGTGTTGTGGCTTTTTTTTTGTGTGTTGTGGCTTTTTTTGGTTTGTTGTGGCTTTTTTGGTTTGTTGTGGCTTTTTTGGTTTGTTGTAGCTTTTTGTTGTGTTGTGACTTTTATTTGGTTTGTTGTGATTTTTTTTTGGTTTGTTGTGACTTTTTTTTTGGTTTGTTGTGATTTTTTTTGGTTTGTTGTGGCTTTTTTAAAATTTATTGTGACTTTTTTGGTTGTGGCTTTTTTTTGGTGTGTTGTGACTTTTTTTTGATTTGTTGTGACTTTTTTTGGTTTGTTGTGGCTTTTTTTTTGTTTTGTTGTGGCTTTTTTAAACATTTATTGTGACTTTTTTGGTTTGTTGTGGCTTTTTTTTGGTTTGTTGTGACTTTTTTTGGTGTGTTGTGGCTTTTTATCATGTCGTCGCATTTGTATTTGTCGCGGCGTTTGCGTTCGTTGTGACCCCTCTCGGCTTCCGTATTCTTGACCTTTTTGACAATATTTTCTATTTTTCTCATGTGTCCAAACACTCGCTCACCCCTGATTTAAACAGACAAAGCCTTTTATTGTGTCGCTCTGCAGCACCGAGAGGAACGGACGAGGTGATCCAAGTGTTATTCCCAAGGACACACGAGAAGAGAAGCTTTTGACACGATCACCCAGCGCCGCGAGAGCTGAGAGAGAAAAAAGGATAAAACCACAGCCCACTTTAGTCTAAAAAAATAAACATACGGTCCACTGCAGCTCGATTCTTTTGGTTTCATCTGTAAAAATCAACTGACTCATTGTTGACTGTTACACGTTGGCAATACAGTGGTTTTTGTTTTTTTTTCCAACCATTTTAACACTGTTTTTGATTCAAACGTGTGTCTAAACCTGGGCTCGACTGGTCAAATCATTTGGAACAGGCTCCTGGCACAGTTCACACGTTCACAAACGCACATGATCACAGAATTCAGTTTGTTTTTTTTTTGTTTTTTTTCAGAACTACAGGTTTTTTTTTTCTCATGGAAGTAAAATTCAGCAAAGCAAAGTGTAACATTTTTCGGTTAGTGAATGGTCAGACCAAATTGAAACGCCCGTTTCTCGAGCCGTTTTCGTTTTTCTCGCGTGTTCAGAGACTTTAGCCTCGACTCACAACGGGAAAAAACAGAGTCTGAGAAATGAGAAAACCCGAAGTCTACGAACAAAAGATTTCACCGATTTTCAATAATATAATGTGCAAAACTGATTGAAAAAACTGTAACACAACACACCAAAAAAAGCCACAACAGAAATGACCGCGGGACTCTATTTTAATGCAAACGACGCAACACAAACGCAAGTGCCACAACACATTAAAAAGCCACAACACATTAAAAAGCCACAACAGAAGTGACCGCGGGACTCTATTTTCCGACGGACCGATCAAGCGGCAAGTGAAGAAGAAGAACTACAACGTGAAAAGTAAAGGAACGGAGAAGTTGGAAATGTAAGTAAAAGTAATTTATTGTTTTATCATTATTCGTTTCATGTTTGATGTGTTGTGGCTTTTTAATGTGTTGTGGCTTTTTAATGTGTTGTGGCATTTGCGTTT